ATGGTGCCACAGATCACATATAAGAACGACTGACCCACAACGAAATCAGCTGAAACGATACAACACAGAACAGACAAATTTAATTCAGCTACACAGACCAACCAAACAGTGACAATATGTTTAATATATTTAGAGCTCTTTATAACCTGGAACATAGATGTGTGTCTCTCTGGTCTGGTTGATGTCCTTCTGTTGGACTCTACAGGTGAAGTTGTTGCTGTGTCTCTTCTCCACAGTCACTCTGCTGCTGACAGTATAGAGGTCATCAGGACCTCTGACTGTCTCTGTAGGTCCAGCAGAGAGGAGGTTTCCCTCACCGTCCAGCCAGACCACCTCAGGCTCTGGATACCAGCCTTTAGACTCACACTGTAGAACTACTTTTCTACTTTTATTGGAGACATCCTCTATGATGGGAGTGGAGACGACACCTGATGCGAAGAAAGGGGGAATTCCAAATCAAAGAAAATACATCACTTCTTACCTTTAATTATTTTATTAAAATATATGTTAATTCAGTCAATGTTCTGCCTTTATAAAACCCAGTCTAACTTACCAACAATGAGCTGGATGGAAGCTTCCTTCTGAAATGAGGGAAGGGCACATTGGTATCTTCCTGTATCAGAAACTTTCACTTTGAAGATTTTCATGGAGACGTTTCCTGTCATCAGTCCATCCATAAACAGTCTCGTGCGGAGATAATAAGATGGATTTTGATGGTCAAACATCAGTCGTCCATCCTGGTGAAAGTGGATGTACTTTGGGTCTAAATCAGGTCTGGTCCACTCCACTGTCTCATCAGAAACACTGATAGGAGGTTCAAGGTGACATGGTAGAATGACATCATCACCAGCCAGGGCTGTGATTGGTTGACAAATCAACTGTGAGTTTGCTGCGAGGACTGAATAAAACAAAAAAACAACAACAAATAACAGCACATATAAATTCCTCATCTAAGTAGTAAAAAGAAAAAATCAAACAGATCAACATATATGCACTAATGCAATTCTCTTCAAGCACCAGAGATAACATATTTTAGATTGTGTTTTTGGTTCCACACAGCAAGCACACATTAACATCACCACCAACTGGCCTCATTGGGCTGCATTGGACTGTACTGAGGTTGTTTTAAGTGTTTAGTGTGTAAATTACCTCCAAATGACTGCAGAAGAACACAGATAACAGCTTCATGGAAAACTAAAACAATGTTTCTGAAGGACGGTACATCATTGGACAGCATCACTGAATGCAGCATCCTGGATTACTGGAAACAGAAATAAAGCTGTAAAATGGAAAGAAATGTTCATTCAGATTATATTTTAACAAAGATTGTGATGTGATGAAATTGCAACATTTGAAAAAGTCACTCTGAACATTGGTAGCGTTTTAGGTCAAAGTAAGAAGGGCAAAGTTTAACCAGTTTAATCTAACTGTCCCCATATGATGATTTATGACAGCAGCACTGAGAACACATTTTAAGAAATGTGTGTTTGTCTGTTGTAGACTTTTTACCCACTTTTTCGCGCTCTGATGCAAACTAACTTTTTAAGTCTGGAAAACACGCTTCCCAACACACACCAAAGAGGTTTCATGAATATAATTACACATTTATGTGACACCTACAAATGTAGAGCCATAATTGTAAAGTTGTTTTGTAAATTAGCCTGTGAGAAAGATCCAATATGAATGTATTGTTAGGGATCCCATTGATTACATTGAGTAGTATGTTTGAAGGTGCAGTTTCTCATTTGCAGTGTCCGCCCCGGGGGGCGCTCTAGGGCAACATGATGCTTCCACTCCTCCAACAGCCTGCTGAGAGATCACAAGCGACGTCTCCTCTCTCTGCTACACAATATCTGCTTACTGGTCACTCATGCTGGAGGCCTGGAACATTTTCAATAGCAGAATTGAAGATTTTGTTAAAATTTAGTGAAACAAAAGAAAAGAAAATGAAAAACTCAGTGTCACATGTTCCTTTGTATATGTATGCACATATTTTCTTTGAGGCTTTTCTGAGGAGTGATAACAACCTCTAATAGTGTGTTTTAAAGGTCCAGCAGTGGTATAAAATATCACCTTTTCGCCACCTTTAAACATTTTTATCAATTGCTTTACTAATATGCCACAGAAAATTCATTTTGGGGCTTTCCCAAGCAAATATTGATTGGCTATATGTGATTATTGGTTATTAAATCCACATACATTTCTGCCACCTCTTAAAGTCTCCATGCAACCCTCACACTATTCATATTTTACAGTTATGCTGTATTTAACTCTAATTTACACCGAGGTTAAACACATATTATTGCTATACAATGTGTGATGAGCAGACAATAACTAGGTACCTGAGGAAGGAGCAGCTCCCATCCTCTCCCAACACAAGACTCAGGTTTTCTTCATCATGCCTCAATCCTCTCTCTGCACAACCATGACCAGACACTTTTCTATCTAGGAACGATTCCTCTCTCTGACAGCACAACACTGGCTGGGAGGAAGAACACTCCCACACACTTCATCTGAGCACGGCTGTTAGGTGGAGCACTTTCCCCTCTGCTGGCACATCCTGTCAGCCTTAAAGTAACGGGAGTCCTCTGTGGAAATATAGTGTTATAAAAGCAACTGGTCTTAATGCCTGAGCTCTGTTATGTGTGGGGCATTCAGGACCAATGGGAAATCTCAGCCTTACCCATTTCTAACAGACCCCACGATGAAGTGATACAATCTTTCTTCAGTGTTTGGATAAGAGATATAAAACTGATGGGCAGCTGATATGGTAAAAGATGGTCATTGTAATACAGGCTGAAACAATAAAGATACAATATTATAAAGTAAATGAGAAAAAGACAAAGCCTGTGAGACATTACAGCTCAGAGTAAAGTGATGTGTTTATGTATGAAACTGCATGTAAATAAGAAAATAGACACAAGAGCTGATATTCAGTTCTTAAACAGAAATATGACAAAACAACTCAATGCTCTGTTTGTGTAACTGTGCTATTTTAAATGTTCATATTCAATGTCTCCAACAACAACTAATGAACACAAGTCTTTTTCACAACCATGTTTTATTTAAAATGTCCCAGAAGTTTCCCAGTTCAGTGTTGTATTGTACTTGTTGACCTCTGCAATAAGGACAGTACCCAATAAACACAGCAGATGGCGCTCATATGACAGGTCAGTACACTTCTTTTATCATTTCAACTTAAAGCTTATATTCCTCTGTTCAGTTTCAGTCCTGATGCCTTCAGACCTCATGAAAAACCTCTGCATATAAACAACATAGTTCATATAAACTGTACAGTTACAGAAAGTGCTGAATATTTTGTGGTTTAATGAAAATTATGGTACATATTTAAATAATATATGTAGCACCCCAACACTCAGTAAATGCCTAAGTTAAAGGAACTCACCTTGGACTTGAATGATGGGGTGTTTGGGTTCGATTTATTAAGGTAGCTACCACGAAGGTTTACCTGTGTTGTGTGAAACTTTTTATAACCTAATACTTTATAAATAAACAACAACACTGTTAGACTAAGCACTGGCTCTATTCACACGTACTCTACACTATTTTAACTAACTGACCCCAGACAACTCTTTCAAAATATGACATATTTTACTAACCAGTTATTTTCCAGTGTAACACAAATAATATTTACTTTGTTAGTTAATAAATAAAAACAAAAATGAGATAACACAATTACTCAAATTAGACTTCTTTAAAATAGAAATATTATAGTTGAAATACTAAATTGTTTTTTTTGTCTCTGGACAATCACATTCAGTCCAGTAGAGTCAAATATGATATGAACAAAGTTTTATGCCTTTAATTCAACTTTTCTGTTCTGGTGACATGAACAAGAAGTCTGCCTCAGTGAACTCAGCCGTACATATTTTGGTTGATTTTAATGGTTTTAGTATTTTATAATAATTTTTTAAAAATTGATTTTATATGTTTTATTCAGTTTGTGTTTCACGTACGCGCAGATATTTGATATTGCGCGAGTATATTCGTGTATGTCATACAGCAGGTTTTTTAGTTGTCATTTTACAACACAGGGTTTTACAATCAAACTCAGGTTGTAGTTCCTTTATGTTACCTATAAATAAAAAAAATAAATACAAAAGATATTTACAGTAAAGTTCATTAATAAGTCATAAAAATAAATACTATTTTGCATTGATATATCCTTGAGAGTGGGTTGGTGTGGCAGAGAAAAGCCATCAGCAGACCTGAGATCAGATCACTTTGTCCAACCTGTTCATTCCATCGGTGCTTCAGTCATATGAGCTGATGTTCAAACCAAAAATCTACTTTACCTATCATCTTCATCAAAGGTCCTCTGAATCACTCTGACTCTCTGCTTCTTCTGGACTCAGGGTCAAAGATTTAAACTGACTGACTCCTTCAGCTGTTGTGCCTTCTTCCTCTCCAGATCTTTCAGGACTGCTTCATCATCCTCTGCTGCTTCTTTCTGTGTTTCAGGGTCCATCTGGTCTTCCTCTCTGTTCACTGACTGTAGCTTCCTTTCAGTCTGCTCTCTCTGTCTCTCTACCTCTTCCAGCTGCTCTTTGAATTCATTTATCTGCTCCTCCTTATCCTTTATCTGTGTCTTTTTTTAGAAACTCTTTCTTCAAATTTTTCTACTTCTCTTTCTTTTGCCTTTAGCTTTTTCAGAAGGTTTTCCTTCTCTTTGTCATTCAGTGTCTCTCTTTCTTCTGTTTCATTGTCTGCAGACTGTATTTTCTCCTCTTTTTCTTCTTCTTCTTCTTCTTCTTCTTCTTCTTCCTCTGTCTGCAGATTATTTTCTGTCTGTCCTCCTTCCATCAGCTGCTCTGAGTTGTTCCTTACAGGTTTAGTCTCATCTTCTTTGTTCCTCTGATCACTTTCAGCTGGATTTGGAGCGTCTCTTTCTTCATCGACTGCTGTCTCTGTCCCTTCACTGACAGCACACTGAGCTCTGTCTGATTCTCTTTGGTGTGTCTCCTCGACTGTTTGAAGACCTGTTTGTTCTTCGTCCACATTGTTAGTTGTCTCTCTTTCTTCCGTCAGCTGTCCTTCATGTTTTTCTTCCTCCATCAAACACTGAACTTCATCTACCTTTATTTTCTCCTCTTCTTCTTCCGTCTGCAGATTATTTTCTGTCTGTCTCTCAGTTGGATTTGGAGGATCTCTTCTTTCATTGATTGGTTTCGTCTCTGTCTCTTCTTGACCCTCGTCTCCTTCTGCCAGGGGTTGGTCGGTCTGTCTTTCTTCCTCCACTGAAAACTGAAGCTCTGTCCCTTCACTGACAGCACACTGAGCTCTGTCTGATTCTTTTTGGTGTGTCTCCTCGACTGTTTGACTTTGAAGTTCTGTTTCTTCTTCATCCACATTGTCAGTTGTCTCTCTCTCTGCTGTTAGTTGTCCTCTGTCTGTTTCTCTTCCCATCAGCGACTCCTGTTCTAAATTGTTACTTCTTACTCTCAGTGTGTCTTCATCCTCCTGTTGCTTCTTCTTCCCTGTGTGCACAAACAATGAACAGAGCTTAAATCACATTTTTCTGGGCTCATTCTGATTTTCCATAAATGTCTGAAGCTGAAGAGGAATGAGCTGCGGAAGCACAGCAGAGGTGTGAGAGGAGATTTTGTTGTGTTTGAAAAGAAAAACTTAAAGGACCAGTGTGGATTGTGTGTCATTCAGCCATGAAAGCTGCAGTTTGTAACCATGTGAATACAGCCTAGCCTTCCAAGCATGTAAGAGAAACTACAGATGCCGAAGTGTTTTGTTTGTCCTTTCTGTGCTCCTGTACAGACAGTGGGAATGATAAGTTTTGCATCACAATTTTCATTTTCACTGAAAACCCTACTACAATGTGTTTTCTTACATCTGGAGGACAGTATTTGTAGGCCAGGGCAGCTCTACAGGACTACAGTTCTTCACTATGATGCTGTTTTGTCACATATTTTACCAAAATTTGTAGCTTTTGCGATTTGGATATTGCACTTGGCCATATTGCAATTTTGGTAATATTTCGATTAATTGTGCAATTTTTACCAACAGATCCTCCTAAATGTTACACACTGGACCTGTAACTCATGTCAGAAAGTCGTTTCAACATTACAATTATCTGAAAAGGCTGAAAACTGTCATTTGAGGTTTCAAAACTCAAAACTATTGTCACAGACCTCAGTTATGTAATAATTAAATATGTTAAAAACTGAAAGGGTAAAATGTATCCATTGGAATTCATCCATTGGAGGAGCTGTGACAGTTTATTATTTTATAAAGTTAATGACTTACTGATTTTGTTCTGTCTCCATTTCCACACAACAAAGACAACTGCAAGAACTAACAGGATGACAACAACCGAACCAATGATGATAGGAACAGATGAACTGGAACCAGACGGGCCTTCAAAGAATTCATCTGAAATGAAAGAATAAAGATCAGAATATATATACAGACACACATATATGTTAATCTATCTATAATATATGTATTTATATAAGATATTAGAGTTTATAGCAAAGAAACTTCTTCATTTTAATAGTACTTTCACCTGAAACATATTTATATACAGTATAATAGGATTTATTTTAATTATAAATATATATGTATCCTTCTTGAGCTGTTTAAAAATAGAACGTTTATAACTTTTAAAGCTCTTTATAACCTGGAACATAGATGTGTGTCTCTCTGGTCTGGTTGATGCCCTTCTGTTGGACTCTACAGGTGAAGTTGTTGCTGTGTCTCTTCTCCACAGTCACTCTGCTGCTGACAGTATAGAGGTCATCAGGACCTCTGACTGTCTCTGTAGGTCCAGCAGAGAGGAGGTTTCCCTCACCGTCCAGCCAGACCACCTCAGGCTCTGGATACCAGCCTTTAGACTCACACTGTAAAACTACTCTTCTACTGTTATTGGAGACATTCTCTATGATGGGAGTGGAGACAGCACCTGATGATAAGAGGAGGAATTGCAAACATATTTACAGATCTGATTGATCTGTAAATGAGCAATGTTTTAATCAGAGGTTCCCTGTTTGGTTTATCTTATGCAGATGACACAATGCACAATCTCGCTATTGGTTTCACATTGTTCCACTGATCTACAGGTGGCAGTAATTTGGCATTCCCACTCACACAGTGAACAAGACCAAATTAACCGTCTGCTTGAACAGAGAGTGGGACGTCTGCTACTTTCCCTGGAACAATGTTTAACCGATGCAGTCGAATCTCATTTTTGTATCATCGTGTGTTGGGCTTACATAGTCTACCTACTGGATGCTGAATTAGTGCGAAAATTAATTCTGATTTTATCTTCATTAATGTAAGCTTATATGTGAGGACTCGTAATGGATTTGAAGAGAAGTTTTGTGGGGCACATCCACATACTTTAACAAAGTGTCATGGAGAAAGTGACAGCACTCGAAAGGTTGGATACATTTACATGGATCAACTCAAAAGAACCGATTCTGTGAAAATGATCGGTCTGCCCGTCACTACCTGACATCCATAAATTTCCTTTTGTGCACATGCTAGTGCAACACATCATAGAAGCTAATCAAGATATTTCATTATGATCCGCAAATGATTTTGCCTTTTAAAAAGCTCAAGTCTGACTTACCAACAGTGAGGTTGATGGAAGCTTTCTTCACCAATGGTTCAAGGATGCAGAAGTATTTTCCTCCATCAGAGATTTTCACTCTGAAGAGTTTCAGGGAGATGTTTCCATTCTTTAATTCATCCACGAACAGAGCTGTTCGGTTAGTACAAGATGCTTTTTGTCTTCCACACACTGGCCGTCGATCTCGGTAAACATTGATGTACTTTGGGTCTAAACCAGGTCTGGTCCACGTCACTCTCTGAGAACTGGCATCGATGGGAGGTTTAAGGTAACATGGCAGAATGACATCATCACCAGCCAGGGCTACGATTGGTTGATGTGAAGAAATCAACTCTGACTGCTTATCAACGAAACCTAAAACAAACAGACAGTGATAATTGATTAATTCACAATGCATTAAACCACCAAATATTAAAGTCATTATGTTTGAAGAAATGTGACAGCTTCAAATATAAAATATCAATGTCAGAGAATAGTTATTATTTTGACACAGTTTGCTGTTTTATTTTCTCACATAACAGGATGCATAAAGATGCAAAGAATATTTTAATCTGTAAAGAGATCGTTACACCCTGTAATTTTAAGTTTATAACTTTTAGAGCTCTTTATAACCTGGAACATGGATGTTTGTCTCTATGGTCTTGTTGATGTCCTTATGATGGACTCTACAGGTGAGGTGTTTGCTGTGTCTCTTCTCCACATCCATTCTGCTGCTGACAGTATAGAGGTCATCAGGACCTCTGACTGTCTCTGTAGGTTCAGCAGAGAGGAGGTTTCCCTCACCATCCAGCCAGACCACCTCAGGTTGTGTATACCAGCCTTTAGACTCACACTGTAAAACTACTCTTCCACTGTCATTGGAGACAACCTTTATGATGGGAATGGAGACGACACCTGATGAGAAGAGAGGAGGAATTTCAAACAGTGGATTCAGATCAAACAATTGAGCAAATAAGATCTGACACTGATGTGCATCATAGTCAAACTCTACTAGAAAAAGTTTACAACTTAATATTTCCCACCAAAACATCTTTAAACTCTCACAAACATGTTGAATGTCTTTCATCAAAAATGTGCATCTTCTTCTCTGTTCTGTTCCTTTAAGAGAAAATCGTCACAATCAGCAGTTATTATGTGGAGTTGAAAGAAACCCTGTGGTGTTTTAGACCTCTGTTAGTGCTGTGAAGCAATGCTTTTTATAAGTGGGACTCTGATACTTTGTTTTTTGTGTTTGATCATAGCTGCTTTATTCTTACACAAAATTGCATTGCTAGTCTTTGCGGTAGAACGAAATGTGGGATTCATCTTCTTTGTGTCCATGGCAATAAATCTGACTTAGCCACAGTAAGATGGATGGAAGCTGTTTTCATCTTTAATGGAAGTTATTTTCCTTCATCAGACATTTTCACTTTTTTTCCCCATTATTTTGACAATTTGCTGTCATATTTTCTCACAGAACAGGATGTATAAATATGAAGAGAATATTATATTTTCTGAACTGACCCTTACACTCTCTAATCATTAAACATTGTATCTTATAATTAAAAAAAAATTCATCTTGAGCTGTTCGAAAATTGAAATAGAAAGTTTAAAACTTTAAGAGCTCTTTATAACCTGGAACATAGATGTGTGTCTCTCTGGTCTGGTTGATGTCCTTCTGTTGGACTCCACAGGTGACGTTGTTGTTGCTGTGTCTCTTCACCACAGTCACTCTGCTGCTGGCAGTATAGAGGTCATCAGGACCTCTGACTGTCTCTGTAGGTCCAGCAGAGAGGAGGTTTCCCTCACCGTCCAGCCAGACCACCTCAGGCTCTGGATACCAGCTGTTAGACTCACACTGTAAAACTACTTTTCTACTTTTATTGGAGACAACCTCTATGATGGGAGTGGAGACGACACCTGATGAGAAGAGAGGAGGAATTTCAAACAGTGGATTCAGATCAGACACTTCAGTAAATAAGATCTGACACTGGTCTGACTTACCAACAGTGAGATAGACGGAAGCTTTCTTCCTCATTGGTTGAAGGAAGCAACGGTATTTTCCTCCATCAGAGATTTCCACTCTGGAGAGTTTCAGGGAGACGTTTCCATTCATTAGATCATCCTCAAACAGAGCTGTTCTGTTAGTGTAAGATGGATTTTGACTTTGATTCACCGGCTGTCCATCTTGGTGAACATGGATGTACTTTGGGTCTAAACCAGGTTTGATCCACACCACTGTCTCAGAACTGGCACTGATTGGAGGTTCAAGGCGACATTGAAAAATGACATCATCACCAGCCAGGGCTACGATTGGTTGATGTGAACAAATTAACTCCGACTGCTCTTCATGGGACACTGAAAGAAAGAATATGAATTTTGAAGAATATCCAGATTTGAGCTTCAGATAAAAAAAACAACTTCTCTCCAATATCACTGTCAGTGATTTTATTTCATTATTTTGACAGTTTGCTGTCATATTTTTTCACAGAACACGATGTATAAATATTAAGAGACTATTATATTTTCTGAACTGACCTTGCAATCACTAAACATTGTATCTTATAATTAAAAAAAAAATCTTTCTTGAGCTGTTGAAAAAAGAAAGTTTAAAACTTTAAAAGCTCTTTATAACCTGGAACATAGATGTGTGTCTCTCTGGTCTGGTTGATGTCCTTCTGTTGGACTCTACAGGTGAAGTTGTTGCTGTGTCTCTTCTCCACAGTCACTCTGCTGCTGACAGTATAGAGGTCATCAGGACCTCTGACTGTCTCTGTAGGTCCAGCAGAGAGGAGGTTTCCCTCACCGTCCAGCCAGACCACCTCAGGCTCTGGATACCAGCCTTTAGACTCACACTGTAAAACTACTCTTCTACTGTTATTGGAGACAATCTCTATGATGGGAGTGGAGACAACACCTGATGAGAAGAGAGGAGGAATTTCAAACAGTGGATTCAGATCAAACACTTCAGCAAATAAGATCTGACACTGGTCTGACTTACCAACAGTGAGATGGAGGGAAGCTTTCTTCCTCATTGGTTGAAGGAAGCAACGGTATTTTCCTCCATCAGAGATTTTCACTCTGGAGAGTTTCAGGGAGACGTTTCCATTCTTCAGTTCATCCTCAAACAGAGCTGTTCGGTTAGTGTAAGATGGATTTTGACTTTGATTCACTGGCTGTCCATCTTGGTGAACATGGATGTACTTTGGGTCTAAACCAGGTTTGATCCACACCACTGTCTCAGAACTGGCACTGATGGGAGGTTCGAGGTGACATGGGAAAATGACATCATCACCAGCCAGGGCTACGATTGGTTGATGTGAACAAATCAACTCTGACTGCTCTCCATGGGAAACTGAAAAATTAAAAGAAACAACAGGAATTTCTGATCAAAATTAATGTTTTACATCTAAAAATAAGAAATAATCAAAGTATTCAATTCAGTTGAATGTTATTGTATAATGCCTGATCATAACAGAGGTAAAAAAAAAATGTACCCACTACTTTCCAACGTAAAAGCTCTTTACAAGTTAATTCATCAGTAATAATAATCCAATAGTATAATAATATCTCAGTCTGAGACTTTTTATCTTTCGAATATATCGTTCTAATAATATTTACATATTCAAGTGCAGTTCTGAATGCAGGACCTTAACTTGTAACTGAGTATTATTACATTGTGGTTTCGCTGCTGATTTCCGTGCCATGGTTCAATGTCTGACCCACATTCAGACAAAATGCAAAAGGGAAATTACAGACCACGCACTTCCCATTTTTTTAGGTTTCGACGTGACGTTTGTCAGTAAGATAAATCATACAGCCAGTACACAGGGAATCACCACTAACCTGTCAACAGCTCAGTGTAATTACAATTATTATCAAATAGAAAACATCATCATCTACATATCAAACCTTTAAATTAATTTATATGGACAGAAGTCACTGATTCAGATTAAGAAAACCTGGTTGGATGAATTCACTGAGGAAACCACCTGATGTTGACGGTATTTTAATAAAACTGACAGCCAGCAGATATATAAACTGTATCAGGGTTTAGTTCATAGCAAACACACAGCTCGTCATTGGTACTGAAATTATTGACAGGTGTGTGTAAATTACCTCCAAATGACTGCAGGAGAAGAACACAGATAACAGCTTCATGGAAAACTGAAACAATGTGTCTGAAGGACATCAGTCCATCATTGGACGGCATCACTGAACGCAGCATCCTGGATTACTGGAAACACAAATAAAGCTGTACAAGGGAAGCATTTATTTCTAACAACTAAATATATAAATCAGGTTTAGACAGATTTAATATTTCAGGATGGAAAACAAGTGAGGTGTGCAGGTTCTGTATGAAATAGTTATAAAACATATGTAACAATAAAAATAAGGGTTAAAGGACATGTATAGCCATAATTATCTCAAAATAGAAGGACTTTTGGCAGAAATGTTGAAAGAAAAGGAATGCTATTTTCGTCGATTAAACAACCATTACTGGAGAGTGAAGAAGCTGAAATAGAGAGGCTGCTTGAACGTGTTCAACTCGACTGCAACTGTTTGTCATTTCTAACTAACTGTAATGTTTAACCTTTAAAGATTAGTCTTCAGAAAATCTAACTCCACCTCTCTGAATGATAAGATACATATAGATAATGTGACAAATTAAAGTTAAAGCCAAGTGGACAACAAAGTATTAAAACTGTCCCCATATGATGAGTTTGATTCTTACCTCCTTTATGACAGCAGGTACCACTGACAGCTGACGGCAAAGAGAACACATCATGTGATTGTCTCTGTTGTAGACACACTTCAACCACTAAAGCAGCTGATCAAAAAAGGTCCATACTAACACATGCTTCCTCTTTTTTTGCCTGGCACTGTAATGCAAACTGCTTGAGTCTACCCACACTTGCCACATGGGACACTCCACTATATTTTGAGGACACAGTAACATTTAAAGTCTTGAAAACCTTTCAATAGAGGTTTCTGATGCTGGACAGTTAATGCTGACAGAGCTCATCCATAGGCTCTACAACATTGCTGAGCTTATTTATACCAGCAGTTTAACATACAGTACATGTTGTTATGGTGATATGATGTTTTCTGTGACATATTGATTGGTTATTGGTAGGTTTGGAGAAGATTATAAAACCACTTTCTCTGTTAGACTGTGGACATTATACAGTGTTAGACAGTGTTGTATGTGCTGGCAGACCATTTTATATCTGTGGAAGGTATTCTTGCACCTGAAGGCCTCTATTTCTGATATGTTAAGCATTTACATGTGAAATATATTTAAATGAAGAAACAGTGTTGTTGATGTATTGCAGTGTAAGCAAGTTAGTCCTTGTGCTGAACAGATGATGAGGAAAGAGGAAGATATGTTATTTCATTCTCTTTGGCTGCTTAGCTTGCACACATTATTTACAGTGTGTTTCCCATTTAACTGATGTGCCAATGTAACAATATGCTTGATAACCTTGGCTCTGTTGATGGAGTGTAATAACTCCCTAAATCCAATAAAGAAACAAGCATTAGCTGAAACTCTGACAGCATCAGGGACCGGCTTCCTCACTGATGCTGGTTAGGCAGTAAGCTTCTTCCCCCAGCATCCTAACAACTGCAGCTTATGTTCGAGCAGAATTATTTTTGTTCATGGGATTTTAGAATTAGAAATCACAGGAGACAACAAGCATCAAACTCAACAGACTCCAGAGAAGTTCAGAAACACAGCATACATATTTATACAATGAAAGGTGTTCTGTGTGTAAAGCTGCTGTCCCCTTTATAAACCAAAGGCACATTGTTGGAAACCACAGTTGAAGGTCACCTTAGAAATTAAGAAGTACAGTAACTTGAATTGTTCCCAGATAAATAATCTTTATTTTATGTAAATCATCAGACATATAGAAATGATAAGTGATCAGCTAATCTTAATTAAATACTTTAAAGAAAACATCAACCTCTGGACACCAGGCTATCTTTCAATGCACAGTATATACAGCAGATGGCGCTCATATGACAGCTCAGTTGTTTTATCATTTCAGCATGAACTCAGAATCACTTTGTTTCATCAAAAAAGCCTCATGTTCCTCGGCTCAGTGTCAGTCTTTAGGCCTTCAAACCTGAAAAAAGAACTCTGAGGAGGGTTGGTTTAAGCTGTACAGTTACAGAAAATGCTGCATGTTTTCTGGTTTAAATCAGTTTGAGTAAGGAAGTAAATAAACGTTGTAAATACAGAAAATAATTATAAAATGATAAAATGATTGCCAAATTTATATAAAAAGGTTTGAATATCAATGTACACTGTTCTGGATTACTACAACCTTTAAACACTCACAACTATTACTCATTTCATTTCTGTAGGTCACATACTGTAACATACATTACTTTGTATGCATTGTCATATATTGTAAATATTCTATTACAGTAAGGTACATAGGCTCTTATCATATTTCTATTCCCATTTGTATTTTTATTTTTGTTTACTTATATGTATATACCTATAGAAATGTACATATGGGTATATTAGATATTGTAATATAGTTATTATTCATATTATTTAACATTGTGTGTGTACCTTTAGCAACTGGAACAAACACATTTCCCCCCGGGATCAATAAGGTATTTCTGATTCGGATTCTGATGGGTGATTTAGGAATATATAGTATTATGTTTTATATAATTGTATGAAAAACACACTGAAATTGTGTATGAATGGTTTAACATGGCATCCTCTCTGTGTCCTTCTTCTTCATTGACTGAGGTATCCTTTCCAACTCTGTCTCCTCCACTTTCACTCCTCAGGTTGTCTTCTGTCTTTTGTAGCTGTCTTTCTTGTTGATCTTCTCTGTCTCTACCTTCCCCAGTTTCTCTGTGTCTCTTCTCCTTTTGTCTAGTCAATTAGGATACCTTTAGATCATTGGCGTTAATGGTGTGTTTTGGTGCTTCGGCATGAAACTTTCCAGCGTCTTATTGATTTCTGTGTGCCAAAAGAAAAAAAATCTGGTAACTCTGAAGTGTTAAAAGAAAACATGAAAATCAGGAAATGAAAGAAGCAGAAAAGAAATATGATGGTTGAGTATTCTGCAATAAAATGAAAGGACAAAAGACATTTACTTGCATTACATCTATGATAATAAGTATTTCCTCCCAACATGAGAAACAAAGCGTTTGACACTAGTGCCTCCTTCTTTAATCCTTAGACCCCACATTAGTGATGCTCAGTGTTCCTGCACTACAGTATTTGTTACATTGATCCACCCTCCTCTGTAACAGCACCCAGACCAACCAGTAAGAGTCACCAGTTCACTAACAAACACATACACATGGGAACAATTGTGCTGAATGGTGCTGAACTAAACCTAAAGCAGACTACAAGATATCAGCACTCAAATGCTTAAACCTCTCACCACCTCAACCACATTTTATATTTCACATTCTGTTTTACATTTTACCTTCATTATTTTACAGGATGTTTTAATATGAAATCATGAACATTGTGCTATATAATCTATTGATGCTTTGTAATGAACTGCTACATATCACTACAGCCAATAAAGAGCTCTGACTGTAACTTGGCAAAAAAAGGAAAATGAATGAATGACTTACTCTTCCTTTTCAGTGGTATAATAATGATCACAATGACAAGAAGAATGATGAAGATGATGATGATGATGATGATGATGATGATGATGATGATGATGATGATGTTACCAATCATATATGAAGAGGACTGATGTATGGGTAAATCAGCTGAAACAATACAAAATAGAACAGAATGACATATTTAGACCAACCAAACAGTGACAATATGTTTAATATATTTAGAGCTCTTTATAACCTGTAACATGGATGTGTGTCTCTCTGGTCTGGTTGATGTCCTTCTGTTGGACTCTACAGGTGAAGTTGTTGCTGTGTCTCTTCTCCACAGTCACTCTGCTGCTGACATTATAGAGGTCATCAGGACCTCTGACTGTCTCTGTAGGTCCAGCAGAGAGGAGGTTTCCCTCACCGTCCAGCCAGACCACCTCAGGCTCTGGATACCAGCCTTTAGACTCACACTGTAGAACTACACTTCCACTGTTATTGGAGACAACCTCTATGATGGGAGTGGAGACGACACCTGATAAAAAAAGAGGAGATATTCTAAGCCAAAGAAAATACATCACTTCTTACCTTTAGTTATTTAACTAAAATATATGTTAACTCAGTCAATGTTCTGCCTTTTATAAAACCCAGTCTGACTTACCAACAAAGAGCTGGATGGAAGCTTCCTTCTGTAATGAGGGAAGGGCACATTGGTATCTTCCTGTATCAGAAACTTTCACTTTGAAGATTTTCATGGAGACGTTTCCTGTCATCAGTTCATCCACAAACAGTCTCGTGCGGCGATAATAAGATGGATTTTGATACTTAAACATCAGTCGTCCATCCTGGTGAAAGTGGATGTACTTTGGGTCTAAATCAGGTCTGGTCCACTCCACTGTCTCATCAGAAACACTTATGGGAGGTTCAAGGTGACATGGTAGAATGACATCATCACCAGCCATGGCTGTGATTGGTTGATGTGAACAAATCAACTCTGGCTGTGCTGCAGTAAAACCTATTGGGAAAAAGTAATACTTGTGATAATTGATTCCTTCAAAATGAGTTTAAACATTAAACCATCATGCGTGAAAAAATATCTAAATTTGAGCTTCGAGTATAAAACCCAACTTCTTTCGAATGTCACTGTCACTGTTCTTTCTATATTTTAACGGTTTGCTGCCATATTTTCTCACAGAACAGGATGAATAATGATGCGAAGAATTTTTTTTTTTTTAAGTATATTTTTGGGGGGCTTTTATTGCCTTTATTATAGTGTCAGCTGAAGGTAGACAGGAAAGGGGGGCAGAGAGAGGGGATGACATGCAGCAAAAGGCCGCAGGTCAGATTCAAACCCTGGGCCGCTGCAGCAAGGACTCAGCCTCAGTACATGGGTTGCCAGCTCTACCCACAAAGCTATCCGGGCGCCCCGATGTGAAGAATATTTTATCAGTGGCAAAGACTCTTACACCCAGAAACATTTTATCTTATAAAAAACAAAAAATCCTATTTAGCTGCTTTGGGGATCTGAAAATAAAGTTCATAACTTAATTAATTAACTAATTAATCCAGATTTTATCTTCACAAATGTAAGTTTATATATGATGACTCATAATGAATTTGAAGACAAGTTTCGTGGGGCAGACACAACCATGTACTTTAACAAAGTGTCATGGAGAAAGTGACGGCACTTGAAAGGTTCCTAGGGGAAATTCTTACATAATATTGAGAGTTGCTAGTTCTCTGAAGAATTACAAACCCAGTGTGATGAATCAAATTCCTTTACACATGCCGCATGGAGACAAGAGCACAGCATAGACATTCTCTCCCTACTTCCAGAATGCTCTCCTTTATATATCCCTCGGTACACCATTTAAACAGTGAACACACCTGTTGTCCTATTTATATTACTAATGTAATGTCCACATATGGGTTTGAGTTCTCTCACACAAATGGTCCTGTGAGCTGACATTGTGACTGTGACCAACTGCTGAACGGTCATCTCCTACCATAAAAACACAACCCCCTAACGAAACTGTATACATTTACTACCCCTCCTAAAACATTAATCTACCACAGGTTGGAAACATGCACATGGATCATCTCAAAGGAACAAAATCTGTGAAAATAATGGGTCTGCCCATCACTACCTGACATGCATATGTTTCCTTTTGTGCACATGCTAGTGCAACACATCATAGAAGCTGATCAAGATATTTCATTATGAGCTACAAATGATTTTGCCTTTTAAAAAGCTCATGTCTGACTTACCAACAGTGAGGTTGATGGAAGCTTCCTTCAGTACTGATCGAATGAAGCAAAGGTATTTTCCTCCATCAGAGATTTTCACTCTGGAGAGTTTCAGGGAGACGTTTCCATTCTTCAGTTCATCCTCAAACAGAGCTGTTCGGTTAGTGTAAGATGGATTTTGACTTTGATTCACTGGCTGTTCATCTTGGTGAACATGGATATACTTTGGGTCTAAACCAGGTTTGATCCACACCACTGTCTCAGAACTGGCACTGATGGGAGGTTCAAGGCGACATTGGAAAATGACATCATCACCAGCCAGGGCAACGATTGGTTGATGTGAACAAATCAACTCTGACTGCTCTTCATGGGAAATTGAAAGGGACAAAAAAATAAATAAAAAAAACATGAAATGATTCATTTAAAATTAATTTTGAAGAATATCTAGATTTGAGCTTCAGGTATAAAAACCAACTTCTCTCCAATAGGACTGTCAGAGATAATTTTCTTTCATTATTTTAACAGTTAGAAAACGTTAGACAGTGATAATTGATTAATTCCCAATGAATTAACAAATAATGTCAAAATTTGAGCTTCAAGCATAAAATATCAATTAGTTTCAAACAGTGTGCTGTCATATTTTCTCACTGAACAGGATGCATAAAGATGCAGAGAATATTATATCGTCAAAAGAGACCCTTTTACTTAGAACTTTTAGAGATCTTTATAACCTGGAACATAGATGTATGTCTCTCTGGTCTGGTTGATGTCCTTCTGTTGGACTCTACAGGTGAAGTTGTTGCTGTGTCTCTTCTCCACAGTCACTCTGCTGCTGACAGTATAGAGGTCATCAGGACCTCTGACTGTCTCTGTAGGTCCAGCAGAGAGGAGGTTTCCCTCACCGTCCAGCCAGACCACCTCAGGCTCTGGATACCAGCCTTTAGACTCACACTGTAGAACTACTCTTCTACTGTTATTGGAGACATCCTCTATGATGGGAGTGGAGACAGCACCTGATGAGAAGAGGAGGAATTGCAAACAGTGGATTCAGATCAAACACTTGATACCTCTGTAAATGAGCAATGTTTTAATCAGAGGTTCCCTGTTTGGTTTATCTTATGCAGGTGACACGATGCACAATCTTGCCATTGGTTTCACATTGTTCCACTGATCTACAGGTGGCAGTAATTTGGAATTCCCACTCACACAGTGAACAAGACCAAATTAACCATCTGCTTGAACAGAGAGTGGGACGTCTGCTACTTTCCCTGGAACAATGTTTTACCGATGCAGTCGAATCTCATTTCTGTATCATCGTGTGTTGGGCTTACATAGCCTACCTACTGGATGCTGAATCAGTGCGATAATTAATTCAGATTTTATCTTCATTAATGTAAGCTTATATGTGATGACTCGTAATGGATGTGAAGAGAAGTTTCGTGGGGCACATCCACATACTTTAACAAAGTCTTATGGAGAAAGTGACGGCACTAGAAAGGTTGGATATACAGTATTTACATGGATCAACTCAAAAGAACCAATTCTGTGAAAATAATCGTTCTGCCCGTCACTACCTGACATGCATATGTTTACTTTTGTGCACAAGTGGACCACGTCATAGAAGCTAATCAAGATATTTCATTATGATCCACAAATGATTTTGCCTTTTAAAAAGCTCATGTCTGACTTACCAACAGTGAGGTTGATGGAAGCTTCCTTCATCATTGGTTCAAGGATGCAGAAGTATTTTCCTCCATCAGAGATTTTCACTCTGGAGAGTTTCAGGGAGATGTTTCCATTCATCAGTTCATCCTCAAACAGAGCTGTTCGGTTAGTGTAAGATGGATTTTGACTTCGATTCACCGGCTGTCCATCTCGGTAAACATGGATGTACTTTGGGTCTAAACCAGGTCTGGTCCACGTCACTGTCTCAGAACTGGAATCGATGGGAGGTTCAAGGTAACATGGCAGAATTACATCATTACCAGCCAGCGCTATGATTGGTTGATGTGAACAAATCAGCTCTGACTGCTCTCCATGGGAAACTGAAAGGGACAAAAAAATGAATAAAAAAAACATGAAATGATTCATTTAAAATTAACTTTGAAGAACATATAGATTTGAGCTTCAGGTATAAAAACCAACTTCTCTCCAATAGGACTGTCAGAGATAATTTTATTTCATTATTTTAACAGTTAGAAAACATTAGACAGTGATAATTGATTAATTCCCAATGAATTAACAAATAATGTCAAAATTTGAGCTCTCCATGGGAAACTGAAAAAAAAAAAAAAAAACAGAAGCACAGCTGGATTTTCTGATCAAAATAAATGTTTTACATCGAAATATAAGAAATAATCTGAATATTCAATTAAACATTCACTGGAGCAGGTAGAGACAGTGCTGCGTAGTAATGAAACTGTCAGAGTTGTAACATATGACAGAATTACATCCTGGTAGAGTTAGTGATGGTGCTGTGTTTACTGTAAGTACTCAATTTAAATAGGACCCACTACTTTCCAACTTCAAAAGCTGTTTAGAAGTGAATTCATCAGTAATAATAACCCAATAGTATAATAGTATCTCAGTCTGAGATTTACTTTGATCATTCAAATATGTCGTTCTAATAATATTTACATATTCAAGTGCAGTTCTGAATGCAGGGCCTTAACTTGTAACTGAGTATTATTACATTGTGGCTTTCTGATTTCAGTTCCATGGTTCAATGTCTAACCACACAATCAGACAAAATGCACAAGGGAAATTACAGACCAACTACTTCCCAATTTTTTCAGGTTTCGACGTGATGTTTGTCAGTAAGATAAATCACACAGCCAGTACACAGGGAATCACCACTAACCTGTCAACAGCTCTGTGTAATTACAATTATTATCAAACAGAAATTTAACTTCTTTTAATCAAACCCTTAAATTAATTTATATGGCCATAAGTCACTGATTGGACTTTTAAAGATTCAAACAACCTGGTTGGATGAATTCACTGAGGAAACCACCTGAAGATGGTATTTTAATAAAACTGGCAGCCAGCAGATACATAAACTGTATCAGTTAACTGTTCAGTTCATAGCAAACACACAGCCTGTCATTGGTACTGAAATGATTGACAGGTAGTGATGTGAAGATTTTGTTGGTGTTTTAAGTGTTCTGTGTGTAAATTACCTCCAAATGACTGTAGCAGAAGAACACAGATAACAGCTTCATGGAAAACTGAAACAATTTTTTTGAAGCACATCAGTCCATCATTGGACGGCATCACTGATGATGGTGTGCAGGTTCTGTATGAAATAGTAGTAAAACATACGTAACAATACATATAAGGGTTAAAGAACATGTATAGCCATAATTATCTCAAAATATAAGGACCTTTGGCAGAAATGCTGAAAAAAAAGAAGCAGCTGCTTGAACATGTTAATATATAATATTAGATAATGTGACAAATCAAAGTTAAAGTCAAGCGGACAACAAAGTATCAAAACTGTCCCCATATGATGAGTTTGATTCTTACCTCCTTTATAACAGCAGGTACCACTGACAGCTGACGGCACTGAGAAAGCAGTGTTTCTGTTGTAGACACACTTCAACCACTAAAGCAGCTGATCAAAAGAGGTGCATACTAATACATGCTTCCTCTTTTTTTGCCTGGCACTCTAATGCAAACTGATTGAGCCTTCCCATACTAGGCACCAGCACTGGACTGGCCATCGAGCATACCGGACATTGATTGATTGACAGCCTCAGCCCTTTGCTGCATTTCATCCCCTCTCTCTGCCGCCCTTTCCTGTCTCTCTCTAGCCATCTCTGACTGGGAGGATGGTGTGGGTTTAAGTTTATTAGACAAGTACATATACACCAACAAGACAGTGTACAAGCATTGTCATAAGAAAGTTTGTTTTCATTCATAGGCTTCATTGTCTTTCCATCAATACATGGTGGGCCGGTATCGGCTCAAAATGCCTGGGCCGATTTTTTGTCCCAGTCCATCCCTGCTTGGCACATGGGACACTCCACTATATTTTGAGGACAATAATAATGTTTAAAGTCTTGAAAACCTTTTAACAGAGGTTTCTGATGCTGGACAGTTAATGCTGACACAGCTCATACATTGCTTAGCTCATTTATACCAGCAGTTTAACATACAGTACATGTTAGAGTCTCACCATTACTAGTCTACATGTTGTCAGATCCTGTTGATGTTGTTGTTAAGGTGATATGATGTTATCTGTGCCATATTGATTGGTTATTGGTAGGTTTGGAGAAGATTATAAAACCACTTTCTCTGTTAGACTGTGGACATTATACAGTGTTAGACAGTGTTGTATGTGCTGGCAGACCATTGTATATCTGTGGAACGTATTCTTGTACCTGAAGGCCTATTTTTCTGATATGTAAAACATTTACATGTGAAAGATATTTAAATGAAGAAACAGTGTTGTTGATTTATTGCAGTGTAAGGAAGTTAGTCCTAGTGCTGAACAGATGATGAGGAAAGAGGAAGATCTGACTGATTAGCTTGCAGACATTATTTACAGTGTGTTTCACCTTTAACATTACAAGTGAAAATGCCTTTAATATGAAGATCAATGTGTAACAGTTTGAGTTTATTCACTAATTTTTAGTTAAAATAAGACTAATTTAGGTTTGAATAAATACTAATATGATTAATGTTCATGAATACAAGAATTATTAAGAACACATTAGAACATACTGTATGTTTAAAGAGACCTGTATAATATTTTGTGAGTTAAACCCAGGTTGGGTCATCATCAGGCGCATTTGCCACGAGGGACAGAGCAGGGCTAATGATGATGAATGTTCATACAGATTTGTGTTCAGTGAAGAGTGAAAGCTTCAAGTTTCACATTAAGTTTATAGTTATATGTTAATGTAGCAAACATGATGGCCTCAATGCATGTTCAGCAAGCTAATTATCTGTAGGTGTAACAGTTTATAGCTGGATTGTTTACGATATATTTATGTTTGTAAGATATTTGTTGAATGATTATTGTCCCAGAGAATGCACTGTGTATGCATTATGCTCATTGTTTGATTTGTGTATTTTATTTGATGTAGTTCCCACTGTTCTAGTTCTCTGACTGCATGGACGTTCAAATAAATCCCTGAAAACAAGTAACAGGGATTCAAACTCGTGAAGCTACAATGTGTTTGGTATGTAGCTGCTGACCAGAGGAAGTGTTCAGTCAGTATACACTTCCTCTAAATGACATTTGTATTCACAGTAAGCTGGATGCAAAAGATGGCAGATAATGAGTTCTCCTGTTTGACCACATGATGGCGCCAAAATCTCTTTTATATGTGAATGATGATTTTGTACAGATTAAAGTGCAGCTGGACTGTGTAGAGGTTCCTACTGTTATTAATTCTGATATGTTAGATGTCAGGATTTTATTAACCATTGTAGGGATAGAGCTGGAGTCTCAGACCTTGACTGGGTCAAGTCTTATCTGGCCAACAGAACCTTCTCAATATAATGAATGTGTACTTTATTTGTATTTGTAACTATTTTACTACAGTATATGCTGTATATACTGTTGTATGGCATCTTGTTTCATTACAGTTTTAATGTGTAAACTTCAGTGTTTGTGTGAGGAGTGCACACAGTCAAATGCAGCCACAGGCCTCAGCTGGTGTCAGTTGGCAGAGGGGAGTTTCTTGTTACGTTTGTTTAGTATTTCTTCAGTTTATTAGGCATCTTGTTTCATTTGGATTAGTTAATACTTGTCTGTATTTTGTTCATGGAAATATTCAAGTCAAATTGTTAAAAGTAAAGAAAAATGGCAGTGTTTTGGTGCCTTCAGTGTAGCAATGGGGTTGGTAGAGTCCACAGGTATAGAGGTTAGAGAGAGGGGCTCAGGGTGGATTTCTTCCAGCTGCTGGAGTCTGCTGCACCTGTAAACCTGCTCTTTTTAAAGGCCTGCTATCTCTCTGTGAGGATCGTGAACTTTGATTAACAAGTAAAAAAAAAAAGGTGCTATACACCTCAATGCCACTGCCCTTCATCATTGTGATGGACATTTTTTTTAAACCTACATGATTGTTTGACCTGGTTATTGTAAAGCCACACACAGCCAGTTCAAGCCAGTTATATGCTTAAATCTTTGTTTCAACCTGTTTCTAACTACACTTTATGTCCAAGTAAACAGCAGAATGTCGAGACTTCACAAAATACCAAGGACACACAATCAGTTTGTTCCCTCAGAACTCAGGACAACTCTCAAACAGGGATAAAGGGACACTGCCTCTTTTACTTTTCACTCATTCTAACCTCCATGTGCTGCTGTATGTGCTATCGACTTCATCTATAGATGTCGCAAAAACTTTACAGAAAGGCAAGATCATATTTTGGTTGCTTTATTTGACAAATTGCCATCACATCCTGAAAATATAATAGAAATCTCACAGTTTGCTACTTGTTAGAAAAGTACAGTATTTTACATTCACATTCACATCCACTTAAAACAATGTGGTCAGTTTCTTATAAAAAAAATAATACCAATAACAATACAAATTGATAAAATGTATATTGCAGTAGTTTATGAAAAGTGCAATAGAATATTTTGTGTTTTCTTAAAAACTTAATACATCAGTGCATTATTAAAATGATATTAAATCAATTGTATAAGCTGAAAGTACCTGATAACTTCATAATCTATATAAGAATCAGCTTTATCGACCAGCCATTTTAACACTAGGAAGACTTACATTCTCAGTAAATGAATGTTGCATCATTTACAAGATGATTTACACACATTCAGTTAAACACAGATAACAAGATTAATAACAAATATAACCAAACAAGCTATCTTTGAACAGGTCACATTGCTACTAAAACCACACAGTGCAAAAAGGCAAAATCGGAGTAGGAATAAATAATGTATAAATAATAAGTTAATTTGGGAATAAAGTATGATCAGTGTTGAAGTTATAGAGAGTTTAGAGGGGATCAGCAGGCTCCCTTTCTTTTGTTTTTCTGGCCAATATCTCCAACCTCTTTTGTTTCTACGTTATTCTCTGTTCTTTGGTTGGACTCATATAAGTTAATAAAGTCTGTAGGTTTCATTCTCCCCATCTTGTGTTGGCGTCCTTTAATATGTCTGGGTCTCTAATAGAGCCTTGTTAATTTGTTTATTCTGGAGGCCGTAACAATGTGCATATATTGAGAGTATGTACAGTATATACAGTCTGTTTAGACCCGCAGGCAGCAACACACAGATATCATATATATATCTGTACAGTATATGATAATGATCCGGACTGAAGTGTCCGTGTGTGGAAAGAAGTTGCTCTTGTGCCTGGTTGTTGCGTCGTATATTGCTCAGCAGTCCCAACCAGAGGAAGTGGAAACAGATATCATCCAGGCTGGAGCACTGTAACTCCCTCTACCTACGCATCTCTCAGGCTACCAGTTTACAACCTGTTTCAAAATGTTGCTTCCCGGTTATGAACAAGGTCAAAGAAACAAGATCCTCACACTGGTTAATTCCAGGATAAACTTTAAAATCTTTCCATGGTCTCACCCCTACAAATGTCTCAGAATTTCTCACAACCAGATCCTCAGATCCTCCCAGATAAACTTAACACTTGAAACTAAACTTGAAAATCCAGAGAATCTCATGGCATCGACTGTTGCTTGCTGTTGTAACTCCATCTGAAGTTGCTGTCACGTTTGAGCCGGGGGATTTTCCGCCCTCACTGTGGCAGAGGCTTCTGTGTCTCCCACCCATATAAACGTATATCGGCCAGCAATGCTCGTAACTAGTGAACAACAAAACAGGGCTGAGAGGGTTACTTTAGAAATATCAACTGATACAATTACTAATTACCTCTATAAAAATATATTCAGTAACCTTATCCAAGTATCACAATACTTTTGCACATATTAGAACATATATACAGACATATAACTGAATAATGTAACCTCACAAAAGAAAGAAAGAAAATGGAAACCAAGATTTTTAGCATTGGAGCAAAATGTGTCCTGTCCTCAGTGTATTTCTAAAGAAAAATGTCAGACACTATCCTATAGACTGTATTCACAAAACTTGCACTGTGCTGTTATGTTGGTCCTCCTTTTAGCTTTAAAAAGAAAGTAATGGTGAAATTCCACCAAGTGTTGCAGTATGACCCGATGCCGATGGTCATTCTAGACCAGAGGGCTGTTGTGAGACTCGTTAAGTGTTATAACGCTGTGGGTTAAGTCCCTGATAGACTGACTTATGGTTAAAACACTAGTTTCAATCTTCACACATTCCAGTTACAGTTGCATGTCTATAAAGCACAACACGTCTTACCTAAAATCTGTTCACCTGGTTTGTACCTATAGAAAAAGATAGTTGAAAAAGAAGTTGGTTAAGCAGCTTTTATCCACTACACTAAAAGAAGGAAACACATGATAGTTACAGTTAAAGTGAAATTAAAAAAGACAAACGGGACAATACCTTACTCCTCGCATTGTGAACACAGCAGCCAGTAAGACAGCAATAAGTCCTGGAGCCAAGACAACTTTCACATACCTCGACAAGACTGTAAGGAAATAAATTAAACTGATGAATCACTGAACAGGACGATTAGCCTCTGATACATGTACATGATACAAGCAATTTCTACCTGAAATATAGATGTGTGTCTCTCTGGTCTGGTTGATGTCCTTCTGTTGGACTCTACAGGTGAAGTTGTTGCTGTGTCTCTTCTCCACAGTCACTCTGCTGCTGACAGTATAGAGGTCATCAGGACCTCTGACTGTCTCTGTAGGTCCAGCAGAGAGGAGGTTTCCCTCACCGTCCAGCCAGACCACCTCAGGCTCTGGATACCAGCCTTTAGACTCACACTGCAGAACCAGTCTGCTGCTGGATTGTTTTGTTGAACTGATAACAGGTGAGGAGACAGAACCTAAAGGAGAGAGCGAGAGAGCGAGAGAGAGAGAGAGAGAGAGAGAGAGAGAGAGAGACTTTTCTGTAATTGCATTTTCAAAATTTTGACTACAGGTGGCTGGGTAATGATAAGCTGATGTGATTCAGTTGCTTTCAACACAAACATCTTGTGACCGGATCAGATGTGAGCGTCAACCTTGTGATTGTGGTTTTACAGTGGGGTGAGGTTGCCTGGCAACCAGCCAAGACTTCAAGACTTCAAGGCTTTAGAGGTGTTGGTAGTCAGACTTTGTTACCTTTAAACAGGATGTAGGATTGCTGTTTACCCCGACCCCAGTCTTTATGCTAAGTTAAGCTATGGTCACATTTACCACACAGAAATGAAAGAGGTATCAGACAAAGTTTCAAAGTTGTCCCCAATCAAAGTTTCAAAGTTGTCCCCATCTCTCCAATCAGAGATTGTAGACCAAGGTGAATGGGAGCGAGGAATTGCTGCTACTGAGAACAAGGCAGTGAATCAGAGAAATAAAACATTATTTTCTGATTTTTTCACAGCTGTTGTATGTTGTATAGCACCTTCACACCTCCACACAACCCTGCAGAAGGGGCACGTCATTGTCTGTAGCTCAGCCTCAGCATTATTTACTAAATGAACATCGTGCTGTATGGAAGAAGACTGGAACTAGAGACTGAGACCAGAAACCCATCAGGACACTGTTTACTGAGCTACTAAATCAACTGAGAAGTCATCTCATTTCTCCATAAGACTGCATGCTATCTGACTTTTTTGCGGCTCATAGAGTTGCCCCCTGCTGGCCATTATAATGAAAGCAGGTTTAACACAATTCACAAACACGGAAGATCACTTACCAACAATGAGCTTAATAAAAGCAACTTGACCCAGTGAGGGAATGAGGCATCTGTACGTTCCATCATCAGAGACTTTTACGTTGGAGAGCTTCAGTGAAACGTCTCCGAGCTTCAGTCCGTCGTTGGACACAGATGTTCTTCCTCTGTAGGAGGGCTGTTTGTGAATTGCGTATTCTTTACTGTTTGCCCTCACATGTATAAGCCCAGGACTCAGGTCAGGTCTCGCCCACTCCAACCTCATGTCAGACGCATTCACTGCAGGTTCAAGGCGGCATGGCAATATTATGTCATCACCAACAATTGCCACTATCGGCTGAGATGGACCAATCACCCGAAGTTGACCTGGAGAGAAACACATCTGTGGTTAAATTCCTGCAATCCTGATTTCTCACACTACATGGTTGTAGATCAGTTTGTAGGTCAGGGTCCACTTACTTAGTATCTGTGCAAACTTCCCTGCTCTGCCGTGTACGGGAAGAGCCGATCGCAACCGGAAGGGACCCGAGTTGTCCCGAAGGAACGTCAGAACCGTCCCGACGGTAGCTAAGTTACCCGTCGCGTGCTGCACACCTCCTTCTCTGTTACGAGAGCGTTGAGCAGAGCCAAATAACTTGTGTCCGTTGTGCGTGAGTGCAGAGTAAGTTTATATTCACTGTTTATTGTTATGTTAGCTGCTATGTTGTAAAAGTACTGACGCACACACGGTTTTTTGTACATTAGATATATTACCAGAGTCTGGTTAATATGTTTGAATTCCCTAATATATATGTTCTAGACATATAATACTATTTCATTGTGTGTTTAATATTGCGTACGGGCTATGCACCCGACGACATTTACGTTTAGTACAGTTGTTGTGTATGACAGTGTAATGATGTGGTCTGAGGCGCCCACGTGCGGCTATTACGGAGTGTCATTCCGACCTCATGTTATTTTACTGCATAGTACTGTGTATCTGTTTAGTTCACAGTCTTATTGCTTTATTTCGTTAAAATAATAATATATTTGCTGTTTATTTATTTTGTGTAATTCAGGAAACCACAACAAGACACATCCTGTACGTTGTTCATGTGAGGAATTAATAAAGAAGGAAAACATAATTCTCTGGAGTAGCTGCAGTTTTTCTTACCGGAAACTAAGGCCAGACTGTGTACGCCAGCATCCAAATATATTCTACAAGTGGTCCTTCGAGCCGGATGTACACAAGCTGCGCCATGGCTACAAGCAGAGGCTATTACGATGGGCAGCAGCCACCGAGTCCCCGTCCCAGCAGGGTGCGACGCATTCCCGGACATCTGGAAGACTACGAGCTCAGCTACCCGTTCCAACCCCTTCATCCCACCATGACAAGGACAGTGTCACCGATGACAACAACATATGTAGCAGCACCCAACATGGGAGGACTCCTTCCATATCCAGTGCCCACATATCAGTCCTACGAGAGCCCTGATGATAGACTTAAGTGCTTAGAGGCACGCTGGCAGACTATGAGACACCAAATGAGAGAGCTGCAAGCTGAAATGGACAATGTGAGGCTAACTCCTCACCCTCAGTTTGCCTATACTCAACCCACATATCGCTCACACCAATATGCTGCAGATATGCCTCAGTACAGTAGCCTTCCCCATCTAGGGAGGATTAATATGTGTCCCAGTCCAACTAGGATGGCACAGTACCCATCTGCATCACATATTCCAGCCCCAATGGTGCCCCTCTCTCAAGATCAGGACACAGCTGCTGCCTCATCAATGCAAAACGCACTCTCTGCTGAACTGACAGAAGCTGTGGAACAAGATTCTGCTGCACAGCCGGTTGACGATGTGGAACAAGCTTCAGACGCTGAATCGATACTATCTGCTCCTACTTCACAAATGACACGAGTGGACTTCACAGCCTCTGTTCCATCAGCACCTATTGACCGGGTAATCCCTGTATCATGGGCCCTGCCTGCACAACCTGTGCCTCCAGTAAACATGATAGCACCAAATCCCTCTACCTCACTGGTGCCACCTGCAGTCTCCACAGTTCCTGCCCTGCCGGTCCAGACTGCACCTGCCCCATCACGACCAGCATACAGCGCACCCAGGTATTGGCAGCCTCCTCCTCAACCATACCCTGCAACTCCTGTCCAACACTACTATCCTCAACAGCCACCTGCAACTGTGCGGCCACCAGATAACCCGAATGCACCAGGTGTTTTAGAGATGGTTATTGCCTCATCATTTGGTATTCCCAAGCCCAAACTGACTGTTTTTAGCTCAGGGAGGGAAAGTGACTTTCTGATGCTTAAGAAGGGCCTGGACGGTGTTCTTGGGCCCCATAGACACTTAAGTGAAGACTACAAGTATCAAGTCCTTCTAGACCACCTCAGATTCCCTGCAGCACTTCAAATAGCCAAGAGGTTCATCAATAGTGCAACGCCATACACTGCTGCATTGCAAGCCCTCATGCAAAGATATGGTCAGCCCAGACAGCTTGTGCAGGGAGAACTCAATGCCATCCTAAACGCTCCACCAGTGAAGGCCGGAGACTATCAAGGTATTGAAGATTTTGCAGCATCAGTTGGAACACTAGTGGGCATGCTAAGCACAATGCAAGGTCCTTCATCTGCAGAGCTGCGGTGTGGTTCTCATGTTGACACACTGCTCACCAAGCTGCCTGCTAACTTCAGAGATGCCTTCGCTGAATACTGCTTCACTAGGGGAATTATCCAGAGTGGTAGCGAGAGGACATATACTCTTCCAGATCTGGCAGAGTGGCTTGAGAGGAAAGTCCAGACACTACAGGTATCCCGTCGAATAGGTACACGTCCACCAGAATCCACACATGCTGACAGCAGGGAGTACAGATCAGTGAAGCAGCCAAGAGTGAAGTCTGCAACTATTCTACTCGGTAACCACCAGGGGGCTCAGCAACATAATCCAGCTCCTGCATCAATCCCTCCACCACAGTCTAAGAAGCGTGATAGGTTCAAGCCCTATTGCCCTTACTGTAACAACCAAGAACACTACCTCAACGCATGCAGTGACTTTGCTAAGCTCACAAACAATACAAAGGCTGACTGGATAAAGGAGAAGAAAAGATGCTGGAGGTGTGGGAGAGGACACACATCTGACAACTGCACCTTAAAGAAGCCCTGTTCAACTTGTGGGAAACAACACTTATCTGTGCTCCATGATGTGGCTCAAATAGAGACTGTCCTGACTGTGAGTACATCCCCCAGCATGATTTACACAGACCAAATTAGCCATTCAGGTCGAGTGATGCTAAAGGTTGTTCCAGTACGCCTGCACAATGGGAAGAAAACACTCAGTACTTACGCTCTTCTGGATGACGGATCTGAACGAACAATCATATTACCAGCTGCTGTGCATCACCTTGGTCTCAAAGGAAAGGAAGAAATCTTGTCCCTGAGGACAATTAGACAGGACAAGGTGCAGGTAAAGGGAGCTACAGTCTCACTCAAAGTGTCACCCCTGAAGAAGAAAGGGATGAAACACGACATCCAACATGCCTTCACAGCAGCAGAGCTGAATCTGGCTGAACAGTCATGTGCAGCTGAAAACCTGAAACGAAGCTACCAGCACTTGAGAGACATTCCACTGTTCTCCTACAATAAAGTCAAGCCTATGCTACTCATTGGTTCTGACAACCCTCACCTGATAACACCAGTATCCCCAGTCCGGTCTGGCCCAATCGGTGGACCTGTAGCTGTGTGCACGGTTCTGGGATGGGCTGTGCAGGGACCTGCCACCTTCCTGCAGCATTCATCAGGTGAGAACAGCTGTCTTCATTCTTCATTCCTCTCCCCTTCTGAAGAACTACATCAAAATGTTGAAAGACTTTGGAAGCTAGACACGTTGCCATTCAGAAACAGTAAGGAGGTGATCCGCTCTGGCGAGGATAAAGCAGCTATGGAACAACTGGAGCAAAAGACCATCAGAGTCACAGTAGACGGTGTGTCCCGCTATGCTACTCCATTGTTGCGTAAACCAAATGCACCCACGCTCCATGCTCCACCCACGGCCGTGATGGCTCTCCTCAGAGCAACAGAGCGCCGCCTTGCTACTAACCCTGAACAATCTTCAGTGTATAATGAGGAGATACACAAATTGGAGAAGGCTGGATATGCTGTCAAGATCAACGCTGATAAGGTGAGCAGGTCAAGAGAGTCCTGGTTCCTCCCTCACCATCTTGTTTATCATAATGGTAAAGCCAGAGTTGTCTTCAACTGTTCATTCAACTATCAACAAGCCTGCCTCAATAACAACCTGCTTCCTGGTCCTACCTTGAGTGCACCAGTACTTGGTGTACTACTGAGGTTCAGAGAACAAGCTGTAGCCATCAGTGGAGATATCCGCGGCATGTTCCATCAGGTGCGTCTCCTCCCTGAAGACCAGCCACTCCTTCGCTTCCTGTGGCGTGATGGTGAGAAAGAGCACAGCCCAGATGTCTACGAGTGGCGTGTTTTGCCATTTGGGACGACCTGTAGCCCATGCTGTGCAACCTATGCTTTGCAGCGTCATGTGCAAGACCACAGTGAGGGCAATGAAGACGTGGTCCAATCTGTGCTGCAATCATTTTATGTAGACAATTGTCTCCAGTCTCTGCCGTCTCCGGATCAAGCCAGACAGCTCATTGACAAGATGAGAGCTCTCCTTGCCAGTGGAGGTTTTGATATGAGACAGTGGTCTAGCAACATGCCTGAGGTTATTGCACATCTACCTCCCGAAGCCAAATCAGCAGGATGTGAGTTATGGCTGACTGCAAATAAGACCGACCCACAGGAGTCAACACTGGTCTCCTGTGGCGCTGCAGACCTGACACTCTTGGATACAAACACCGAACCATCCCAGCGACCAACCCGACCATGAGATATGTATACCGGGTTCTAGCCAGTCAATACGACCCTCTGGGCTACATCATACCGTATACCACACGTGCCAAGGTTATAGTTCAAGCCCTATGGAGACAAGAAAGAGGATGGGATGAGCCCATTGTGGACCGTCTCCTCCCTGTATGGCAAGCGTGGGAGAACGAGCTCCCCCAGCTTCAATACGTCACACTGCCACGTTGCTACACCGCTAACGTTCCTACTGATACTCCTGTTGAACTACACATCTTCTGCGACGCCTCAGAGAAAGCCTATGGTGCTGTAGCATACATGAGGGTTGAAGACAGTGAAGGAAAGGTACAGGTGGCATTTGTGATGGCAAGGTCTCGTGTAGCACCGAAGAAACAATTATCAATACCTCGTCTGGAGCTGTGTGCGGCCCTGTCAGGCGCACAGTTAGCCAAGGTCCTACACACAGAGTTGACACTACCAGTAAATAAACAACACTGTGGACTGATTCCACGACTGTTTTACACTGGATCCAGTCTGAATCTCAGCAGTACAAGGTGTTTGTGGGGACACGGATAGCAGAGATCCAAGAGCTAGTTGGAGCAGACAAATGGAGACATGTTCCCTCGGAAGAGAATCCTGCTGACGATATCACCCGTGGGAAATCCCTGGCGGAACTAGTAAAGCCAAATCGCTGGACATGTGGTCCGACCTTTCTCCACCAGCCTCAAGCCGAGTGGCCAACTGATCCTGCTGTAAGTTACACACCTACACCAGCTGAAGAAATACGTGATACCATCTTCTGTGGTAATATCACAGTAAGCAGCCTTCCAGTCCCAGATGTAACTCAGGTGAACTCATGGTCAGAACTGGTAGGTGCCACATTCCAGTCCCTACACGGGCGGCTGCTCCTCCCATGACTGCAGCCGACAGAGTCAATACAGAAGTTGTCATCTTGAAGAGAGCACAACAGGAGTGTTTCCGCGGAGTTTACTGCCCTGCAAGCTGGTAAACCTCTCAGCTCTAATAGCAGCTTGCTGTCTCTATCCCCTGTCTACGACGAAAATGTGGAGTTGATAAGGGTCGGAGGTCGACTTCGAAAGGCAGAGAATCTAGGGGAGGACACCATCCATCCTATCATCCTGGCACCAAACCACCATGTCACGCGGTTGCTCATACAGGATTATGATAACCGGTTGCTTCATGCAGGTCCTGACCGTGTATTTGCAGAAATAAGGAGGACATACTGGATTATTCGTGGACGTCAAGCTGTCAAGAAACATCAGCATAGCTGCACAGAGTGCCGCAAATGGCGCAGCAAACCTGTCATTCCCCAGATGGCCGACCTGCCAGTTGCACGGTTGCGCATCAACCAACCGCCATACTGGTCTACCGGGCGTGGATTGTTTCGGCCCGTACACCATCAAAATAGGCCGCAGACATGAGAAGAGGTGGGGTATTGTCTTTAAATGCCTCACCACTCGGTGTGTGCATCTGGACCTTTTGTGCTGCATGGACACTGACTCCTTTTTGCTCGCCTTACGGCGCTTTGTGGCAAGAAGAGGGAAGCCGTTTGAGATTCTCTGTGACCGAGGCACTAATTTCCGCGGAGGAGACAGAGAGCTGCAAGAAGCCTTCGCCGCACTTGAGCCATCACTAAAGGATCAGCTTGCTGAGCAGAGCATCAACTTCCGATTCAATCCACCATTAGCACCTCATTTTGGCGGTGTTTGGGAGAGAGAAATCAAATCTGTTAAAGCATCCCTGCAAGTAGTCTTGAAAGACCAAGTGCTCCCAGAGGAAGTCCTCATGACGGTCCTGATAGAAGTTGAGGGGATTCTTAACTCAAAGCCCCTTGGTTATGCTACGTCAGACATCGCAGATCCTGACCCCATAACGCCAAATCTCCTACTCATGGGGCGGCGGGATGCATCACTACCACAAGTCGTGTATCACAACAGTGACCTGCTTGGACGGCGTCGCTGGAAACACAGCCAGGTGCTGGCAGATCACTTCTGGCTCCAGTTCACAAGGAACTATCTCCCCAACCTTCAACATCGTCGGAAGTGGCATAGTTCTACTGTGGACCTCACTCCAGATCAGGTGGTTATGATCATTGACCCACAGCTGCCAAGAGCACTGTGGCCAGTTGGACGAGTCACCAAAGTGATCCCCAGTGATGACGGCCGGATACGCACAGCTGAGGTGAACATTAAAGGGTCTACATACACACGGCCAGTGGCTAAACTCATCCCCCTGCCAGAAATGCCAGAGGACTGAGACTGATCTTACAACACAGCAGGGACCTTTGTGAAACTGCAAATTCACTAGGTGAATTTGGGGGCGGCTGTGCAAACTTCCCTGCTCTGCCGTGTACGGGAAGAGCCGATCGCAACCGGAAGGACCCGAGTTGTCCCGAAGGAACGTCAGAACCGTCCCGACGGTAGCTAAGTTACCCGTCGCGTGCTGCACACCTCCTTCTCTGTTACGAGAGCGTTGAGCAGAGCCAAATAACTTGTGTCCGTTGTGCGTGAGTGCAGAGTAAGTTTATATTCACTGTTTATTGTTATGTTAGCTGCTATGTTGTAAAAGTACTGACGCACACACGGTTTTTTGTACATTAGATATATTACCAGAGTCTGGTTAATATGTTTGAATTCCCTAATATATATGTTCTAGACATATAATACTATTTCATTGTGTGTTTAATATTGCGTACGGGCTATGCACCCGACGACATTTACGTTTAGTACAGTTGTTGTGTATGACAGTGTAATGATGTGGTCTGGGCGCCCACGTGCGGCTATTACGGAGTGTCATTCCGACCTCATGTTATTTTACTGCATAGTACTGTGTATCTGTTTAGTTCACAGTCTTATTGCTTTATTTCGTTAAAATAATAATATATTTGCTGTTTATTTATTTTGTGTAATTCAGGAAACCACAACAAGACACATCCTGTACGTTGTTCATGTGAGGAATTAATAAAGAAGGAAAACATAATTCTCTGGAGTAGCTGCAGTTTTTCTTACCGGAAACTAAGGCCAGACTGTGTACGCCAGCATCCAAATATATTCTACAGTATCAATAATGAGTACAATAAATAGCCCATATTAGCCCAAATAAAACTGCTTTGTAATTGTGACCTCTGGTAGCTGGTATGTTAGACTGAACCACAGAGGCACAACATACCACCTTGTAATGGTTGAAAAATACATCAATGGTCTTTTAAGGATTTAGAAAACCTGACAACACAACAGCAAAATGCCCAATGTGAAGCGCTTTGTGGCATCTAGCGGTAAGGACTCTCTAGAAGAGGACACAGTTGAGTTGTGCCCTTTGACCTCCAATGCACATAATACTGTTATTCAGGTATTTAGCTCTGAAATTACCTCCGTGCGACTGTAACAGGAGAAAGCCGATGATCATGCGATGTAAAAGCAAACATTTGCAGTCAGTGAAGTCCATCATTGAGCGGCTTCATCAGATTTCATCACCTGGATCTCTAAAAAAAAGAATACAAAGCTGTAAAATGAGAGGAAAGGCATATTCTGGTTATATTTATAATATTTACATAAGTAAAGATTATGTAACTGCTTAAAAGTAAAGCAATCTTTAGACAATATAAACTCCAGCAAGAAATTTCACTGTGTGACGGGCTTGTTTGTTTATGTCTGTCATATACTGTAGAGGCATCAGTATTCAACTGAGACTGTTTCATAACCAGCTACAAACTCCTGTAGTATGTTCAAGTTAAATACAGACAGGATGTTTACACTGAAAGGGAAAGATACATATTGCTTTGCTTTGTAGGTTTACTGATCCCTCTGTCTGTTTGAGTCACACAGTCAGCCTCTTTTACACATTACGTATGTCTGACTAAATGAATACAATAACAAATAACAGCATGTATTTAGCAATGTGTTTTTTCTGATATTTGGAATAGTATTGTTCTGTTATATCTGTGAGCTGCAATTGAAGGTGCGTATGCAGGAAACAGCAATGTCTGTCAGTCACATGCTTTGTTCCCCTAACCACAGTAACTGCACTTTGCCTTTGCAGGGGAATACCGTGCAGTTTGGAAATTGAATAATACACATAAAGTTAAATTCCATTAATACCTCGATTTTAAGTTTCAATACTTTGTGCTCAAACATGTCACAAATTAGATTCAAGATTCAAGCTTCTTGAATCTTGAATCTTGAATTTAATTCTAAACGGGTGTGGAGAATTGGGGGAGGGGAATTTAACAAGTTTAATTATTTGACAAATGTTCCTTACAGAACATACAGAGTCACAGCAGATTGTCACAAAAATAAAAAATAAAACTTTCTGTTTAAATCCTTCAAGTGAGAAGCAGGACAATTCTCACAATGCAGCAGGGTTTTAAATATTCAGAGTTAAAGCTCTCCACTCGGACTCAAGCTGCTCCAGCATTAAATGATGTAACTTTAAAATGTACAGTTCACTTAACTCAAAATAATCTCTATGTTGTTGCTCCAGTCTCACTGTCACAGTGAAAAGAATCTTTAAATAATCCCTACCTGAAAGGCAAACGTGAGCTCTCAGCTGCGTCATGCTGTTAAATAACCCAGACTAGCAAAGCAGTTGTTTACTTTCTTGGAACACGTGACCCCATGTCACAAAAAAAAACTTCCTTCCTCATTTGAAATATGATGCAACCTGACGTAAACTCTCATAAAAGAGTCTGTGTTTCAAATCAAACTGTTTTCCTAGATGTGTTTTCTAAATGCTATAAATATTTCTCATATATCACATTTCAACCATATTAAACTTCTCTCCACCTCCGACTGGAGTCTGTGTGTTTGCATTAGTTTGGATCTTTCTTATAGCAGCTTAAAGGAGCCATACAAAGCCTGTCTCCTGCTTTACATTTTGATTTTGGGAGCACACTTATGAAACTTTGCACACTGTAATGCGTAATGAGAAAACACTCCCTGCAGATCCCTTTCTCTAAAACAGAAAGTTTTCTCGGTTTCCTGTCTTTCTGCAGCAGTCACGCGCCTGCAGCAGTGACGCGCCTGCCAGCTGACAACAACTCAGAGGTTCTTTACTGGAGTTACTTTTTTTACTCATTAGGGGTTCAACACGCAAATGTTTTGTCTCCCATGTTATTTCAACTTTCTATAAATGACCTGACTTGTGCAATCGAATTATTAAGAGGTTGTTCATTTATTATCTTTAGACTGGTGTTGTTTGAGGACAGCCCTGCTTACCTGGAGATTTATAAAACAAACATTCACTGGTTGGTTAGCTCATTTAATCCAGCTGGTTCAGTTCATAATACAGTGTTATATTGTGTTTCTAGCACAGAAAGTCCTTTACTGGAGGAGGACATTTCCTACTGGATGTCATGCTGTATATTGTAATTATTCAACATGAATATACAGGAATGTATGAAAATACAATAACATTACAGAGTGCTGAACAAAGGTTGCTAAAGGAAGACAGTGTGTTATTATTTATGTATCATGCATTGATAACTTGTTTATTACATATGAAAACTATGTCTTTGAACCTTGAACTTAGAGGCTGTACAGCTGCATGTCTGAGTAATTTACAGTGGTGCAAGGTAACTCAGTACATTTAATCAAAGTACTTTTACTTTACTTGACTATTTCCATTTAATTCTTCTTCTACTCCACTACATTGCAGTGGGAAGTGCTGTACCTTTCAGATTAAAGGTCAAGTTGTGTCTCCTCGTGATGTTTCAGATCTCTGAGTTGCAGTTTCCCCTCTAAACTTTCTAAACATCGTCTCATTCAAATAAATGTTCGAGGTTTGTTATTGTTTGGTTTAATAATCATTCAGACACATCCTAAATGACTTCCTGTTTAAACTACCTAAACCACAGACACACTCACAAAGACTTCTGCACAGTCATGAGACTATTTCAATGTACTCAAGGGAGTGAGTTATAAAAATGTATATTTAGAGCCTGAGGTAGTATCTGTATCTGTAGTATCTGATTACTTCTTCCACTACTGGCTATTTATTATGAATTTGCTACTACAGCCATACTTCACATGTAACATGACCTCTTTCTCCCACAGCTGTGCCTCTGACAGCACTGTGTATATGAGCTGTGCAGAGTGCATGACCCAGAGAAGTCTCTTAAGAACAGACCTGTTTGTAAATGTGACGTTCAAGAACTGTTACCGCCCCCAAAAACAGCAACAACTTTTAAACCAAAAGAGACTTTAAAACATTAAGTTACAGCCTGCAACACCAGAAAGTGGAATAATGTAGATTAAAGAGCACAGTGTGTGGAAAAGCAGGCACACGTGTGGGAGGGAGCAGAAGAACTGACCATTCCTACTGCACATGAACGCCTCACTGCTACGCATAAATCGGAAGTTTGTGAATGAAGTTGTCAGTCGGCGCTGGAGCTGCACGCAAACACAACACCAGTCCGAAACCTCTCATGGTGTCCCTCCAGCAGACAGAAAGAGCCCACCTGTGTGCAGTGGGCATGCATCAACGCCTCCTCCTGATCGCCACTCTGACCGCTGCTTGTACAGGTATGTGAGGTATGAACGTGTTAGCAATGAAAGGGGTAGAGATAGATTTAGATTTCTCTGTTCTAATACACACAAAGCTCTGTTATCTGAGGGAACAAAGTTATTGTGAAATAACCGCAAATGTTGCGCGTCTAACCAGTTCCTGAGCTTTAGAGTGAGGGATGCGGAGGTCACATTGCAAAACAAACTAACACCAGCTGAATGGCGTCACACTGTGATAATAAAGTAGCATTATTGTTTTTATCAGTGATTTTAATGTGATTAGGTTGATAAAAACGTGTTTCAGGAGTGCATTGGGTTTTTTTACTTACTCAAGTCTGTTTAAGAACAGTTGATACAGTGTTTAAAATCTATGCTCCTTTATTCTTGTCTTCAGTTACACGCTGTTACTTTTCAGAGTAATATTTTTTTTTAAAAAAGACAGTTATGGAAAATAAACCGCCTATGAAGCATCTCTGCAGCTCAGTCCATGTTTTCTCTACTCATCCAAGATGTGAGAACGTAAAGCTGTCCGAGCTGCTGCATGGAGCATGTCTGCTGTGTCTCCAGTCTCCAGTATCTGAGTTGGAAATAGCCAACATGACATTTAGTCAGTGCAAAACTGATCCCGATGGTCAGCCCATGTATCGTGCATCCTTAGTTTATGTATTAAAGGATCATAAATGTAAAAACAAATACAATGAAAATTGCTTTGAAGGGAAAATGTTATAATGGACAGCAGTCAGACAACTGTAACAGTTATGAAGACATAAGACTTGAACTTGCCCGCTCACAATCAACACTATATATACTACAACTATTGTTATACTGCTACTGTTACAGCACCACTACTAATAACCTGTTATTATGGTTTTACTCATCAGTTCTATGAGTAACTTGATGACAGGATAATTGCTGCTCGTTGTTATGAATAGGAAATAGTGATCTGGACAATATATCTACTCTAATACTAATTTTATTCACTGACAGTACTCTTCATCAGAGCACAATAGGGAAACCATAATGGTATTTTAATGTTTTCAATGTAGATAAGAAAAATGTAACCAAGTGAACAGTGGAAATTTTTATGAGCTCTTTATGACGTGGTTGGCCTTCAAAGCACGAGGAACTCCCGGCAGCCAAAGGTTGCACAATTTTTTAGTTTTTGTGGTTTCAGTTGGTCGAGATTCCTCTATCATTCCTAATCATCCATTTCCTGTTCTCATAAAATAAAGTTGTATGGACGCTTTTATGGGGTGCCTCCCATTTACTGACTGATACACTGACCCACAAAACTGCTGAGTCATGACGGGTGCTCCCAGTAATACCCTTCATAGTATAGAGTAAGTCGACGTGCCGACACAAGCGTGCAGGATAAATGAATAACATGATGCAACCACATCTCATTCCTGTCAGTCCAGTTCAGAGCAGGCAAAGTACAAGTTTGCACAAGTGAAAAAATCAGTTGTTTAACCCTTAGTTTAAGGAGGAGACATTTTCCAGGAGCATTATTTAACATGTTAATGCAAGACACTAATTCATTTGAATTCAATTGTTTTGTCTCTCTAGAGGCACTGCAGAGCATTTTTGACCTGTGACGTAATGTGTCTGTATGTCAGTGCTTTAATCAAAAGCACCTTTTTGGCCGAGTCAAGACCAAGTCCAAATGAGAGAGACAGAGTCAAGGGAGGGGCATTGCCAATGAGATGAGTTTCGGCAGGCATACAATTGCAAATGACGTTAGTTGGTAACCACATCAGCCAAAGTCAGTGCCTGTTCTAGATGGATTTTAATTAAACCAACAGCAGTTTTTTGAACAAGCTGTAACAGTTTGGGTCCGTGTTCAATCATAAACTCTCTCATACTGGGGTTTCCACAATACTCATCACAGTACACATCAACCTTATCACGGCTGGTTGCACAGCTACTGTTTTATCATGCATAAACAAAACAGTGGCCACACGTGATCCAAACGTTACGGTTGAGAGGCAAAAGACAAACGGGAGCTCAACAACAGGCATCCATTCACAACAGGTCCACCGCTCAACTAACCCCAGACAGGTCGGGCACTGTCTGATGAAGTTTCTCTCTCACAATTCATATTTTTTGGCTTTAACAAAGCACTGAAAAAGCCTCCTTCATCAATGGTTTCATTTTAAAGGAGGAAGTTACTTGAGGACTCGCCCGAGAACAACTAGAATATTTGGAAAGACCAATGCTCTCAGTCTTTGAGTTGTGACGTCCTTTAACCAAAGCCCAAAATAACTTTTAAAGTTGCCTTAAGGCTGCAGGGGAATCTAAACTCTTTAATATGTCACTGCGTTGTCCTATTCCAACTGCCAGACTAAATTGAGCTGCAGGCGAGGGAGGAATGTAAAGGTCTGTACAGAAACTGTGGAGGTGGGAAAACGTGTTGTGTTTGTTTATTAGGCGACAACTAAAGTAGCCACGCAATAAACCCTACCTTCATCAATAGTTGTAGTGTTGAGTCTTTGCTGTGGCTAATTCAGAGTTAGTGATTCAGTTTTAGTGTTATTTGGAACATTATACTGTAGTGTGTTTCTAATATTGCTAAATATTGAAAGCAGTTCCCACTATAGAGCAATAACCGATGTTAGTCTTTTCCACCAGACTGGCTCTGGTTCTTGAACCGGTTCATTTCAAGATTTTTGGAAACTTGGCTAGCAAACCAGCCTGTGCTTCCACTAGTTTTGAGAGGACCCATTGTCATCAAGGATGCATAATCAACTGGGGGTGCTGCACAATGCACAACAACCTGTAGAATAAGACATGATTACTTTAGTTGCTGTTTTTTGGGTTCCGAACCAATTTATTTTTGGTTGAAATGCTCTGCAGGACTAACCAGGTGCACAAACTGGAACGGAGATGGTTCTCTTTGGGTGGAAAAGGCCTATATGTTCAAAGTTTGTCTCTAGATTATTGTTTTTTGTGTGTTTTCCTAGGAAATCCTTTGCCGCATGGTCCACCAGAACAGGTCCTTGCCTTCGCTGGTGAGGCTGTCATTCTTCCCTGCAGTTTCAGTCCCACTGGCAGCGATGATTTTCCAACAGTGGAATGGTCCAAGGAAGACCTGCAGCCCAATGTCGTCTTCTTGTACCGGGATGGCTGTGAGACTTATGAGATGAAGGATCCACTCTTCCAGTACAGGACAAGCTTCATCCCAAAAGAACTGAAGAACAGAAACGTCTCATTAAGGATCTCCAACGTGCAGCTGTCTGATGCTGGGAAATACCAATGCAAGAGGCTCTGGAAGAACGGCCGCCGAGACATTACCACAGTGGAGCTTTCTGTGGGTACGTCCAGTCACATTTACTTAAATACAGATTTTGCAGCTGCATTATAGTCACAGAAAAGCTCCAGCTTGAGCCTGATCCATCTTGGATGCCCCTCCAGTGAAGGAAACATAGTGAAGTGCCCTCTAGGGGGCTAATCCTAACCCTAACTAAGCTGTTTTACCATAAATGCATCACAACTTTCTGCTCGCTGGTGCCCTTTTTATTTTTATTGCATACAGCCGCTACTGGGACTAAAAGTTTTGAGTCTTTGTAATCATAATGATAAGTTTATTTGTACGGCACTTATCTTAACAAGGTTACAAACTCGACAAAATACATGAGAGTAACAGATAAAATATAAGTAACCTTAGAAAACACAGTTAAAATATGATAATGAAAGAAACTGAAACAACACAGTAACAGCACCAATCCACAGTACTGTAATATAACTGTAATGACAGTGGACTAACCGACTCATCTGTTTGGTGAATTGGTGATTCATTAATGAACATTGAACGTTTTCAAAATGTACTTTACACTAAAAGAAAGGGAACAACTTGGAGGTGTTGTTAATTAAAGGTTGTTACGCAATATTTTTAAAATTAGTTTGATTGATTGATCTGGGTTTTTGAACTGTTGCTATTTCATGGATTCAAAGTGAATTTAAAAACATAATCTATAGATTATTTAATAATTGAAATAGCATTATACAGTAGTGGCAAATACAGTAAATATATCATGGTTATGCAGGACTTAGAATATAAAGCTGTAATTATAGAGTTAATGTGGATCACAGTTATGAGCTATATTGAACATTTGAAGATTTAATTACCTGGAAAATTCTCAGGTATGTTTCAGTTTTGAACGCCTTCTAATTGAATAGCATTCTATTGTTCTCAGTAGCACATGGAATTTTAAAAATGCAGTCAACAGCTTCACCCAAAGGAGTGTGTGGAAAAACTAGGACTGATAATACAGTCTCTTTTCCAGCTGTCACTTTTCCAAGTGGGTGTGGTACCGTACATTTAGTTACTTATTAACCTGTTTCTGCCTGCATGGTATGAATGAAAAACTCTTTGAGGTTCTGTGATTACACTTTTTAATCAAATGAACTTGATGAGCTGTGGGTTCTATGTCTCACAGAGCACAGATAAGAAGAATATTATAGTATAGTTCCCATTAATATTTGATTCTTGATTCTTGATTATTGAGGAACACTGAAAGCTCATACCTTATGTAATTCTTGTTTTTATAGCTGCAGTTTCTGAGCCAAAACTCTCAGTGCTTTCAGCCGACAGTGGAGGAGTGACTCTTCAGTGTAAGGCCAGTTGCTGGCTGCCAGAGCCTAAGATCCAGTTTCTAGATGATCAAGGAAACAACATCTCCGCTGAAGACCCAAAAAGAGATCAAAATGCCAGCGGATGTTACACTGTGACACAAAAAGTGACCCTCCAGGATGCCACCAACAGGTTCAAATTTAGTTTCATACTTAATTTGTATTCTATAGGAGTTTTGAATGGGTTTTCAGTCCCATGTGTTTCTCAAAATCCTCTGAAAGAATCAGACACCCCAGGAAAAAAGTTCTATTTCAACAATAAGGGCTTTTATTTTTGTCATTAATATTAATATATATTAATATTCTATAAGAATTTATCATTAGTACAAACTAAGTGATCATCTATTTTATAGCACATAACCAGAAAAGAAACATATTTTCATTCCCATATGTTTGGCTTAGCATCAAACTCCTGTTGAAAACCGAAGCTGCACTCTAGGAAGAACATTGTCAGTGTGATGTCAACACTGATGATGCAGGTCCCTCTCTGCTTATACTGAATAAACAAGCGATAGGCGGCCATGTGTGCAGTTTCTCAAGGGAAGACTACAGGAAAAAAAAACAGAAAATACCAGAAAAAGAGTATTATGGACCTTCCATATGAAAACAGTACTTGTATGATCTGTAAAATAAATGTCTTCTCTTCACAGCGTCACCTGCAGAGTTTACCAGCCAGATATCAACCAGACCAGGGACACACAGATTCTCATACCAGGTACACCGGAGCTTTAACCGCTCACCTTTACCGGGTTTTTTTATGGAACATATACACATACAGACTCCATTGGTCCTTGCTTGCTGAATTTGCAGGCAGTGGAAAATCATACTCCTGATAACAGAGTAATCATGTGATCTCCTTGTTTAATTGTCTTTTCAGTTGACTGCATGAGATCCTGCTCTCTAGCCATTAGCATCGCTGTTGCAGAGGGAATTATACTTCTCTTGGCTTTGTGTGGATTAGCTGTCTTTTTATGTAAAAGATGTGACAAATCTGGTAAGTCACTGAGACAATATTCTATTTGGCATAGAAACTCTACTTCTGTATTAGAAGTAAAAAAGTGCACATCTAGTATCTTTTCCTTGTGGTAACACAAGAGGCCAACAAGATGGAAGATCAGCTGAATTTAGGGAGGGAACAGCCAGCCTCTGAAGAGATACTTTCCAGTTCTGATATAACAGGCTATTATTCTTATTTCTGAGTAATTATCTTTGATTTGGTGTCATGTCCATTAGTTGTAATAAGATTGTACTCACCATGTTAATTGCTGGGATCTGGGAACATGGAATTATCCTTCAATTAAAGATTAATAGGACCACTAACCGTGTCCCCCCCCCTCGTATTCCCACAGAGGGACAAAAGAAGAAGGTGACGAGGCAGCCGTCAGATCAAAGTACAATGAGTGGTACCTCTCAAAATAAGCCGTTACTTCAAACTGTCGAGGCTCACAATGTGAGAAACAGCGACATTGAGGAGCTGAAAAAAGAGTTGGCTGACGTCAATTCAAAGCTTCACGAAAAAGAAGAGACCATCCGCCAACTAGAGAACAAAATCAAACCTCAGCTAAGTCCTGTTGTTTGCTACCAAGACCAACCGACGACTGTCTGCAGTCCTTCCAAATGTCCACCAGACATCCCAAAACCCTTAAACCCACCGTACGACAACGGCCAAAAGGCCAGGAATGGATCCGATGACCACAATCCAAAATCTACAGCTTCAACCAGCAGCAACCCTCAAGTACCTGCCAACTTATTCAACAAAGGTCAAAAACCTGTCATGTCACGACAGAACAGTGATCCAAAACCAGTCCAAAGAAAGCGCATCCACAGCCTCCCCGACAACTTGGTCACTGATGTTGCAGTTCCGTCATTTCCTCCAACCAGCACTTTGAAGAAAAAGCTTGGTCACATCAGTCGTTCGATGAGTGACTCTTACACTGACTTTGGTCCAAATGTCCCCAAGGTTCAGCGTCGACTATCCTTAGTGTTACCATCGTCTAACAACCGCTTTGCAGTCCTGTCTGGATTACAAGAAGAAAAAGAGCTGCTGTATGAGAAAGATTAACACAAAGCAGTAAAAGTTTCAGTTATGGATTCCCCCGAAAACTGAGGATATTAAAACAAATCTGCATGGCCATATCCCACCAGCAGTAAGCAGGGTAATTAAAATTCTAGTAAAACCCGTTGTTTATAAGAAAATAAGCTCTTTAATATTTAAATGTTATGCTACTTTATACGTCTACTCGACCACATGTCTTTACCCCTCATCCTTGTTATATTCTTCCGGACAACAGCTCAGGTATGAGGTTGAAATCAACAGGCACTTTAATTTGCTCAAAACAAGCAGTTACTTAAAACAGCTCGAAAAAAATATTTCATAAGCTTTTTAGCTTTTCATTGAACTTGACATTTAATTTAAAAAATAACTTTAAAATTTCAAACCCTTGTTCATTTTAATTGCTGAATTTTAGAGGTGCTAGAAGATACACAGAGCCTAGCTTGTGGTTTTCTCTTCAGTCCAGTCTTTAAGCTGAGCCAAGCTGACCAGGTACTGGCTCCTTCTACATATCTGCTGTACAGACATGAGTGAGGTGTACATCACATTCTTGGCTTTAGCTATAACTACTTGCTAAATGGTTGTTGCTGCAATATTTCTGTCACTTTTTGTACATTTCTACAGTTATTGAGCACTAGTCTGTATTTAAAAAACATGTTTTAAGTAATATTTAATGTCTGGGGTTGTATATAAGGGTTATTTTATCTAAAATTGCTTTAATTGGTGAATTTTTGCATGTTTTTTTACATTTGTACTTGTTTATGTCCTCTACTCTCTGTAGTGAAATAAAGCTTTTTTTTTTTTTAATTTTAGTGTCCACTTTGTTCAATACTATTCTGAAAATGCATAAAGAGCACCCCCTAGTGAATCAATTATAACATTGCAACTTCTTTTTTGCTTTTCTGTTGTATCTGCCCCCCCGTGCACGCCCACTGGCTGGAAGTTTTAATCCACCAGCAGTCAGCTTTTCAAAATTAATAAATTTGATAAGGTAGAATTAAATCTATTTAGTTTTTCAGAATTAAAAAAAAGTCACATTACAATCAGTCAGATAGGAAATATCTGTCATGCAGGTGAAATCTGGGACATGTAGGAGACTGTTAAACTGCAAAAGGAAAGTAAATTGCACTGACGTAACATGGACTGATAGATCTAGGTTGGTTCTACAACGTCTGTGCAAAGTGCATGACCTAAAGATTGTCACATCTTTTTATAATAAGAAAAATCTATGTGAAGTTCAAGACTGTTTTAGGAACTGGGAAGTTGCACTTCCAAATCAAATTCTGTCACCAAATACAAACAACAACAAGTAGGTTGAGTTGGTTATTACATTAAGTTATCGCCTACAACACCAGAAACAAAGGATGGAAACAGTTAGAAGACCAGTGTGTTTTTGTTGTCTACTGTATTCAGGGTGATCAAATTTAGCATATTCAAAACTTTATTTTTCAATATCACATTGTGCTGTATATGTTTAGCTTTTCACAGCAGCCATTTCAACCGTACAGTAATGTCAGTGCACAGAGGCGGGAAGTGACTTTTCCCAGCGATCTTGAACACACAGTGAGTAAGTAAAACTTTTATGGATGGACTTCAGTCTGACTCAGGCTGCTCGGCTGACCACACCAAAGAGCTGCTCCTGTTTAGAGATATGCAACATTTTTCAGAGAACTTTCATGCTTTACTCCAGCGAAAAGAAAAATCCAGCGTTTGTGTTTCGGTGATGTATCATCTTCTTTTCCTTGCTGCCGCTTTGCTCACTTCTTGTACAGGTAAGCTATGTGAGAGATTTTGGCATTTCTTTGGTAGGGTTTGTCTATAATTTGCCTCAAATGAGTTACAAATACATGTGGTGAAAGGGGTAGGAATAGTTTTGAGTATCAGCCAAGCCATTTATCTGTAAAGTGGTGTAAAGTGGTTGTGTTATTGCGAAATGACCGCATGTATCAAATATGTCAAACAACTTCCTTTATTATGAACGAGATTAGAGGTCAGGTTTGAATGCTAAAACTTACAGATACACTTATTGAACTGAGTTTGCGTCAAACCATCATAATTAGGTAACTTTATTCTTATCAGAGTCATTCAAATATGATCAAGCCGCAAAAAAAGGGCACGTTTCAGAGGGCATTGGTGGAAAGAATCTAGGTACATTTACTTAAGCAGGGTCATTTTGTGGTAATTGTACTTTAATATTTCAATTTTATGCTACTTTATACGTCTACACGGCCACGTTTCAGATGGAAATATTGTACCTTTCACACATATGATCATTTTATGAACCTCTTTAATCCTTTATGAAGGACGAATTTAAATATAAAGTAATTCTGGTATTGGTAATTTTACTTCAGTACAAGATCTGAATACTTCTTCCCCCACTGTGATGACTCAGTGCTCTGATTCTTGTGTTTTCCCAGGAGATTCCTCTGTGCGTAGTCCACCAGAGACGGTCCTGGCCTTCGCTGGTGAGGCTGTCATTCTTCCCTGCAGTTTCAGTCCCACTGCCAGCGATGATTTTCCAACAGTGGAATGGTCCAAGGAAGACCTGCAGCCCAATGTCGTCTTCTTGTACCGGGATGGCTGTGAGACTTATGAGATGAAGAATCCGCTCTTCCAGTACAGAACAAGCTTCATCCCAAAAGAACTGAAGAACAGAAACATCTCATTAAGGATCTCCAACGTGCAGCTGACTGATGCTGGGATATACCAATGCATGAGGCTCTGGAAGAACGGCCACCGGGACATTACCACAGTGGAGCTTGTTGTGGGTACGTCCAGTCAAGTGTATTTGTTCATATTAAGTTCATCATAGTCTCAAAATCTCCCTGTTTCTGGCAAGGAGGAAGGTCCACCTTCAAGTTAAAAGTAACAACACTTCTTTTTTAGCTGCAGTTTCTGAGCCAAAACTCTCAGTGCTTTCAGCTGAGAGTGGGGGAGTGACTCTTCAATGTAAGGCCAGTTGCTGGCTGCCGGAGCCTGAGGTCCAGTTTCTGGATGATCAAGGAAACAACATCTCTGCTGAAGACCCAAAAAGAGATCAAAATGCCAGCGGATGTTACACTGTGACACAAAAAGTGACCCTCCAGGATGCCACCAACAGGTTCAAATTTAGTTTCATACTTAATTTGTATTCTATAGGAGTTTTGAATGGGTTTTCAGTCCCATGTGTTTTCTCAAAATCAGACACTCCAGGAAAAAAGTTCTATTTCAACAATAAGGGCTTTTATTTTTCATTTCATTCATGTGTGCAGATCATTTTCTCCAAGGGAAAGACTACAGCACCACAAATATGGGTCGACTCATGTGTCATCTTGGTGAAACTTCTCACTTTAGTGCACACAGAGTGACTCGCTAACTGCAAGACTTTTTGCATTATAAATGTATGATTTAAACCAAACTCAAAACTTTATCTAATGTCTTCTCATCTCAGGGTCACCTGCAGTGTTCACCAGCCGTACACCAACCAGACCAGGGTCACAGAGATCCTCATAGCAGGTACACTAGAGCTTTAACAGCTCACCTGTTGTTATAGCAGAGTTTCATCATCATATTTGTGGTGTATTGACATTTTCTGTTATATATTTAATTTGTACAATTAAAATGTTTTTTCTTAATGTAAAGAAACTATTTGGAATTTCATATTTTGGTGCATAATGTTGACTGTTGACAGCTGGATTCTTCAAATACAGGAGCCATCTCTTTAAAATACGTACACCTTTACTAACTCTCTTATCCATCACTACAGGAAGGACTTCAGTTTGCTGAAATTGCAGGCAGTGGAAAAGAAGAAGTCTGAAAATATGCTTATGATAACAGATGTTGTCTACTTGTGGTGTTTTTATTGAATATCAAATAATTTACTTTATTGTCATTTCAGCTGACTGCACGAGATCCTGCTCTCTAACCACTGGCATCGCTGTTGGAGAGGCCATTGTACTTCTATTAGCCTCATTATGCGGATTAGCTGTATCGTTATGGAAGAGATGTGGCAAACCTGGTAAGTTCCTAATGCTGAGAAGAGGCTGTATTTGGCTCAGAATTATCTTAATTCTCAATTAGCAAAAGCAGTAAAAGCTGGAGTGCTCTCTCTGTCTTAGAGATGAGAGGCAATTTTAGAGATCTAGATTATGCTGATGATCATATCTTATGAACTTCATATGCATATGTGGCCTTCATCAAGCTGAAATGACAATTTACAACAAGTTTGCATAGTTAAGAGAGTTTGGTGAATCTGACATAGAACACTTATACGAGAAAACCTGGCAGAAGAAAGTAACAGAATAGGCTAAGAATATGAGGCCTATTGAATGTAGGAACTAAGTCTGGTGGGAGCAGATCAAAAAGCAAGCAATTTCTAAATATGAAGTCTTTTTTAACTAGACATTCTTTAGTTGTGCAAATAATGCATTTTAAAGCTTGTGAAAACAGGAGATCTGAAAACAGACACCAAGGCCTCCTCATTCTCTGTTCCTTGTAATTATTGTTGTCGGGAGGAAACCTCATATCTTCATTATGATTTATGGTAGCAAAAGTAAAATGACCAAAGTGAATCAACATCTAATGATCCGGCTCATTCTGTACTCTCCCTTTTTGTATTCACACAGCGGAGGGACGGAAATTGCTGGTGATGAGAAAGTCATCAGATCAAAGTACGATGAGTGACACCTATGAAAATGAACCGTTTCTGGAGAGTGTGAGGGTTGAGAGGACTGACAGTCTGGGAGACAGCAGTATTGATAGGCTGACAAGACAGGTGGCTGATCTCAAGTCAAAGCTTCATGAGAAAGAAGAGACCATCCGTCAACTACGGAACAATAAATCTCAATTAAGTCCTGCTGTTTGCCAGTTTGGCCAGTCATGCAGTCCTGCAACCTCGGTCAACAGCAACCCTCCAAAATCTGGGAATGTACTGCAGAGTGCAAACTCTAGCATCTCAAGACGAAACAGTAATCCGGAACCTGAATGCCCAATCCCAAGAGACCATCGTATCCACAGCAGCCCTGCCATATTGAACTTTAATTTTGCAATGTCGTCCAGTTCTTCTTCAGCCAACACTTTAAAGAAGACGCAAGACAAAACCAGCTCTTTCATGAATCCCAAGGTTACCCCGGACACTGGTAAAAAAGTACCCAACCTTCGGCGTCGACATTCCTTGGCCCATCCACTGGCAGTCATGTCTAATAACCGCTTCTCACTTCTGGCAGATTTATCTGAAGAATCAGAGCTGTTGATATCATGAGAAAATGTATTTGCATGTCGTATGTTTTTAGAAAATATATAAATATATACAGTTACTGAATGAAACAGCACATACCAAGTGCCTATTCAGCTCGTATTTTACTCACTCCAAGGTTGAGTTTCTCACCCTTCTTTCTCACCCCCCTGCTATAAGACATGTTCAGCCAGTTATACATGACACATAACAGCAGCTATACATTATTCAAACAAAAAGGTGTTTTTAAAGCTGCCATTTTTATACCCATTTTTATATACACTATTACATGAAATAAAGCTTTCTCTGTTTAATTTTACTACTCACGTCGTTCACTTGAAAACACACCAAGAGCACCCTCTAGTGAATCAATTCTAACATTGCAATTTCTTTTTGCCACCAGCAGTCAGATTTTCAAAACAAGTTTGATCAAGTAAAATTACATTAATTGATGTAATATTTACATATTTGGAATTTTTCTGGTCGTCTTTGCTCCAGTGTCATCATGTGGAGTCATTTTCTTCTACCGGGAAAAGTGTCAAAAATGTGGACGTGTGGACATCTTGCTGGATGGGAAGGCCAGTTAGCATCATTGCAGGGAGTCTGTGGGGATTTCTCTCTTGCTCTTTTTACCATTACAAAAAAGAAAATGAAATATTTATTAATGACAGAAATTCAAACACATTAATAACAATTATTTATCACATAATGATCATTATGTAATAAAATAAAACAGCAACCTACTGTCTGTACTGGATGCTGGACAGTTGGAAACAGTGAGTGTGCATTTTATGGTTGCTTTGAATCTTGCATCAAATAGTGAACTGCATACTGTATGCAGACTTGCATGCATGTACAAATCACCAGCAGTAAATATTGTGCTAGTACTAGTATTGAACTACAAGAAGCAAGACAGTTGCAAGCCTTTTTTGATGGGACAGTTAGGTCCTAGAGATGTGGTGACAACAGCTGCGCAGAGGGGGCCCAATTAGATTTTTTTGTCATGGGGCCCAAAATTCTGGCGGCGCCCCTGACTGTAGGAACATGGTGGACTCCATGAAAGGTGACCCGCTATGTCTGTAGATTGAAAACAGCACATTCTAAAGTCGAGAGTCACACATGAGGGTGGAGTTTCTCAGAGAGGAAGTGCAGACATGAAACTGTCGGTGTGTCTGTCTGTCTTTCTGTCAATCAGTGGGGGGACAGGATGCATGCAACACCTTTCTGCCTAATGCTGTGTGAGTACAAACATTATTTTACTGCATTGACAATAATCTCTCTTTCTTAAATTGTCCAGAATCAGACATTTTAGTGTAGAAAAATCTTTGATTTCATGGGTTTATTTTCCATCTTTCTTTATTGTTTTCATTTTATCCTGCCTGTCTCGCTTGTTTTCATTTCCTGAACTTTTTATATGCACCTTTTGTGCTTTTGTATTTATACTTTTCACACTTCCTCTTTGATGTTTTTCTCTTTCCTACCTGTTTTATTTGACTTTTTTACTTGTCTTTCTTTCTTACTATCATTTTTTTTCCTTTTTCCTCCTTATCTCCATCTACCTTTTGATCATTTTTTCGTCACTTCTGTGTTTCCTTCTTTTCTTCACTCTTTCCTTTTATTTTTCTTCTCTTTTCTCATTGGCTGTTCTTTTAAATTTTCTTCTTAATTCTTCCCCTCATTCCTGCTTTTCTTTTCTTTCTCTCTTCCTCTTCTTTCTTTCTTCCTCCTTTCCCTCCTTTCTCTCCTTCCTCAACCCCTACGTGCAGCCTGTCTTCGGGTCAGCCCTGACAGGTCTCAGTTCTTCAGGTACGACTCCATCTCTCTGAGGTGTGAAGACCAGTTGAACTCCACTGGATCAAAGGTAAAGAGGAACACGTCGGAGGGCTGGACCACAACCTGCGGGTTTGGCTGGGGCGGTACCTCCTCGGACTCAACTTGCATCATCGGAAACACCTACCCGTCTGACAGTGGGGTGTACTGGTGTGAGTCAGGAGACATGAAGAGGAGCAACAATGTTAACATCACCATCACTGGTACTGTGCACAACACAAGTGATAATGTTTAATGTTCTGCTGTCTCAACTGACATCTAAAGCTGCATTTGATAGACTAGACTTCACATTAGAATCTATGTCTGACAATACAACAAAGTAGGGTTAGGGTTACGCAGAAATGAAGCTTATATTTGGCGAAAGCACAAAGTGAATTTCTGTCTATTCTAAAGATCGTGCTGTGCTACTGGACAGTCCCGCCCTCCCTGTGTTGGAGGGAGCCACAGTGATTCTGCGCTGCAAAGCTGAAACGGATTCCTCCGACCACAGGTTTAATTTCTATAAAGATGGCCGCTCCATCAGCAACTATTCAACAGGAGAGATTACCATTCATAGTGCTTCCAAATCGGATGAAGGACTCTACAAGTGCAGTATCTCTGGAGGTGGAGAATCACTGGGCAGCTGGCTGACTGTTGAAGGTGAGATAAACAATCTGCACTTTCTATTCAACTAAGAAAAGGTCTGTCAAATAAACCATCATTATTTGTATTCTTATTCTTTCTTTTTCCTTATTGGTTTAGTCCACTGTAAGGATGTCCTGATCTGATCTTGACACTAAGATATAAATTAGGCAAATGAAAATACCAGAAAATGTCATTTATCTTCACAGCTTCTCTGCCACCTTCACCTGCAGCTCCGTCTGCAGCTACCAGTTCAGTTTCTGTCCCCAGACTGATGTGTCACCTGCTGGTGGGAACTCCTTACCTGCTATCCACCATCTTACTGGGACTCATATACAGAGACCGAAATAGAGGTAAGACCAATCCAGTTTATGCGTCTAAGAAAACCATCTTGCATCTGCTAGCTTACGATTAGCTGTAACAACAAAATTGTATGATTGGCATCTAGGTTCTTTTCAATTTGGTTTTTAAGAGGCTTGTTCACTTTTTAAAACATCTTTCAAACCTTCTAGGATGAGCGTTTGATGAAGCTAAAGCACTCGGGTGTCATCTGCATAATGGATGACTTGACTATTTTAACACACAATATAGCCAATAACCAGAATAATATTCATAATTCCAAAAGATAAATTTCAATTATGATGTGGACATTACTGAATATAAACCTGTACACATGTAAACCATAACCCTTTAAACCTGATGGGGTCACTTTGAGTCAAACCTCTCATTCTCCAATATACTGAATGGCATGCCAAGACAAGTGGCTACAATACAAAAAAGGAGTGAAAAAAGGAAATGTGAAATTAAATTGTGAAAAAGCATCAGATGCCTGATGATACATGCCAAAGACATTCTTGTAGGCAAACTTCCTGTTCCTCTCTTCTTAAAATTGTTTAACAGAAGGCATTATATGTCAAAGCTACTACAAAGTTAAAAGGGTCAAAGCACAGTTTTGTTATTGCCAAAAGAACGCTGAGACGGACACAGAGACAGACAGAATGAGGTTGAGGTTTAAGGTAAACTCCTATATTGCTACATAATGTGCAGGTGACCTTTTTAACTATTAATCAGATTCTACACTGAACAGGTTGCTATTAATCACAGTAACGTCTTAATTTAATTATTATTAATCATAAGTAAGACATAAATCTGACTATTACCTTGTATAAAAACTCATCCACTGACCTTTTTCTGCTCACAGCAGCACAGATGGTTGCAGAGAGAAGAGGCAGCAACGACGTCATCATGGAAATAATTGTATAGTCTGACAAACAGGATGAAGATCAGTTCTTACCACCTTACCACTTCTGCAGTGTTCAATGGCAGCAGAACTTGCCATTAGAGACTGCAGTGACAATCAAAAAGGTCTATAAAGCCTTGTGACCTCTGGACAAATTGAAACTTTCATGACCACTGAATCCTGCCAAGAAGACGCTTTGATGTGTTCTGTTATCTTTAAAATACAATGATGACATACTAATTCAGATAAAAATAAAGCAAATTTATGTTATCTTTTACATGTTTATTGCCTCATAAATCTCTGTGATTGTGACGGACACAAAAGTTTGTGTTTGAGCCATCACATCTGTGAGAAACGACTTTTGTTATGAAAATTATGTGACTGTCCTTCACTTTCCTCATTTTGCCCTCATGCTTCTTTTAAGCTCCACGTAGGAGTAAAGTGGGAGGTTAGATGCCACCAGGTTGTTAAGAACTCTGACCCTTGACCTTTTAAACCTAAAATGGTTGGCCTGCAAATGTAAATAGATGCATTGTACATCACGATGGATACAAACACTGAAACATTATCATGTCAAACACTGCTGAGGGTGAAAAAGGAAGTGGATGTACACAAGTGCAAGTGTGTTTGTGGTTTGGTTTGGTTTTCATCATGCAATTGTGTGAGGTGTGAAGTGTTATTCCAGCCGCCTAGTGTTTGTTTTTTTTCCATTTGACATTTAAACTCAAAACTTTGTCCTTTTCTTCTGGATTATAAATGTTACTTTGAATGACAAACAGGAAAAGCTCAATAACATTTATTGCCCGTGATTTTACTGAATCAGCCTTTTCTGCCTGCGTGTGTCGATTCTGGTGAAACTGTGTGTTATTTCTCTGAAGTGGAAACATTTGACCTGTTTGTGGGTTTTTTAGGTGACACGGAGTCTTCAGTACTCAGTACTAAAAAACGTATGCCTTCATCAGAACATGTTGTACAGAGCTGACTGAACCTATTGTGCAGTGTGATTAGAAACTTGTGATTTGGTTACTGATTGAAGCTGATCTCTTTTGTGTTCTGTGGCTAAAACACATAATATATACAGTATATCACAAAGGTAAAACCGACAGAGCACCTCTAAGTTTCCTGATTTATATACTGCTGTCTTCGAATGCAGTGCTGTGTAAACAGGATGTGGTGGTGCTGTGGTCCCTTAAGAAAATAACAGATTTGCTAGAGGTTGCTGTGAGGGATCTCTGCCCACATAACTCAAATTTGATCATGATTGGGATGATTCAAGCAAACCTAAACATAAGACTGTTAATGTTTGGACAGATGATTCAATTGAGACAAGGGGGGTGTTATATGTGCACAGACTGGTCCATATTCCACGCACTGGAACTTGATGAAGCGACAGTTATTATAACTGATTACATTAAATTCTGTGTGGAGTGTGTGTGTGTGTGTGTGTGAGTGTGTGTGTGAGTGTGTGTGTGAGTGTGTGTGTGTGTGTGTGAGTGTGTGTGTGTGTGTGTGTGTGTGTGTGTGTGTGTGTGTGTGTGTGTGTGTGTGTGTGTGTGTGTGTGTGTGTGTGTGTGTGTGTGTGTGTGTGTGTGTGTGTGTGTGTGAGTGTGAGTGTGTGTGTGTGTGTGAGTGTGTGTGTGAGTGTGAGTGTGTGTGTGTGTGTGTGTATGTGTGTGAGCGTGTGGGTTGGCATTCATCACATTCTGGGGACAACAAACTGTTTACACAGTCACGTCATGGGGACCTCTGACAGTATGGGGACGAAAAATGAGGTCCCCTAAAGGGAAACTCTTTTAAATGAATGCAGGAGTCTATCTGAAGGTGCCTGTGTGGTTTTTTAGCTTTGGCCCATTGGGCATGTTTTCCAGTTAGTGTGTGTGTGTGAACGGGGCACGCTTGCGCCCCCTTACAGTTTGAGCTGGTAAGGCACTCACCGTTCCACACACACAGATCTTCCAAATATGGTTTGTTACCGCCCACTTCCTGGTCCTCATTAAGAATGATTATAGAAGCAAACACAATTTTCCGTGTTTAAAGGGAGCAATCGCAAAGGCTCTTCATTTAAAGATGTTTGTTGGATAAAAAGAGGAACTACACACAACAAGGTAAGCATTATTGTCTTATTTACTTACTTGCTATGATCATTATTTGTATAGATGACCATTTTAACCCACAAATGAGGTTAATTAGTGTTAATTAGTTAGTAGGACAGCAAGTTAGCTTTAATTAGCCACAGAAGCCAAGTGTAACTTGCAAATTAACAATGTTTTACTAACAATGATTTTAGTTTTCCCTTAAAGCTACTGTTAGTTGTTAGATAATGGAATTCTGTGCATTTCAAGGAGTTTATACCAACTAAAAAATAAATAAAGGGAAATACTGTTTGGATTAGCTGCTGCTCAAATGTAATCCTATTGGAAATTAATTGGTAAAATTATCTTATTAGTCTTACTTTCTTATTCATGACTTTGTTTATATTTGTAGTGAAGTGAAACCTAAGTGATTTTTTTTTCAGTGTTTAACAGATAAATTTATACCTGGAAAGTATATTTCCAGGTATTGAATTTAGTAATATAATGCTGCAAATATGAATTTACTCCCCTTAGTCATAGTAAAGGTGTTATTAAATCCTAGGTTTATATAGGTGAGATATATTACATAAAAATTTGACATATTGTGTGTGCAGAGATATTTTTCTATCTAAAATACAATGAAATACAGCAAGCTGTCCATGTTAAGAGAAAGTGCATCTGGCCAGGTATTTTTGGGACCTGAGCTTGACAGGGCTGCAATTTGATTTGTATATCTTTAAAGTGACTAGTGAAGTGATTCCACATGCCTCCTCTACATAAATTGGTCCTGATTGATTTTACTACCTGAAAAAAGGAAACTCAGCTATCATTCCACAACAGTTCCTCCACATTTAACTCAGATATGTCTTTTAAAAGTGTTTCTGAAGAGGCAGTATGATAAATATGAGAAATCTTAAAGGTTTGCAGTTGCTTTTTTTGTGTCTAATATTGTAAGTTACAGAGCTAAGCCTCTGAACACCCACACAGGTTGTTTTCAGTTTATCTGGCTGATTAGTCGTCTACTTGGGACTGTGTGGGTGCGTGTACTGTGATTGATTGGCATCTTCCTGAGTCTTCTGTCAGCTTGTTACACCTGTTAGGGCAGGACAAAATATACCTTCACCATTCTTATTGGAGATTGAGATTTGTTACCTAATAAAGTTCCATCAAAGCTTAAGCCCACCCTTAATCTGAGCAGAGGTTTAATCAGCCATGATAACTGAAAACACCTGTGTGGGTGTTCACTTAAAGCCTCTAATTGTATTGTAATAGAACTGAAGCCAAAGCTGTCTCATTCATTAAACATTTCTCTGCAGTTTGAAATGCCACCAAGGGTCAGTCCCCTTAAGGATGCCCTTCAGCATCTGCATTCAAAGACTGACAAAACAAGTAAACTAGAGGTGAAATACATAAATGCAGTGAAAGGTAAGATTATGTCAGATGTGGTTATTTAGCATTACTAATTGTTACTGCATATACATATAGACAATGATAATGCATGATCATTCCATACTAAAGTCATTTAATTGCAAAACTTCAGATGCATTAGATAAGCTTATGTCAATCAAGCTGCCATTGAATGCACTAATAATTGGAAACGTGTTTTTAGTACATATTGCCACAGACTAATTAACTTTTGTGAAGTCCTGTTTTTTTGAAAATGTATTATTTTGTCTTACAGGACGTGGCATATTTGCCCTATCTTCATTCTCCAAAGGAGATTTTGTACTTGAATACAGAGGAGACATGATAGATAATGCAGAATCCCAAAGGAGAAGACGCATTTACCACCCATCATGTGTTGCATTCATGTTCTCATTCAAGTGGAGAGGGAGAACATGGTGGTAAGATTTTAAATTACACCTAAACTATACTCCTTATGCTAAACCATAATAATCTCCTTACACTTTGCTCATAGTTAAAATGAAGGCACTGATTTTGTTGTATACATTGTGTGACACATAGTATGTAGGGTCTGTCATCCTGCGATGTAATTGAACTGTACAAAGGTTTGACATATATCTTGAGTAAGAAGAACTGAAAGAGATGATTGTGTAATATTGTTTTCTTCCTTTTTCTTGTTGTCCTGAAGTATTGATGCTTCGCAAGAAGACGGATCATTTGGACGGCTTGTCAATGATGAGCACATACGTCCGAACTGTAGGATGAAAAGGATTGACGTCGATAGGAAACCACACTTGTGTTTGTTTGCCTTAAATGATATACAACATGGAGAGGAAATTACATATGACTACGGAGGTGAAGACTGCCCACAGAGAATGCAAGTATGTACTACAGTGTTGCAGAATGTCATAACTTCATAACTTTACCAAATGTAATTTATCTTAATTTCTTTTTACGATGAAGTATGTTTAGGATGTTAATGGCAGATGACAAGACTCATAAGAATCTTTCAACATGTGTGAAAGCAGACAGAGGTTGATGGAGGAGGAGGAAATATAGAATTGGATTTTTTGTTTTAAGTTCTGTGCCTGTTGGTGTGAATTTAACTTTAGAAATGTGTCATTAAGAATATGCAGTAGTGTAATTAAACATTATGCAGTGAAAACATCAGACTGAATACTTTTTCATATTTTGAAATGTCATCAGATGACCATGAATGCAGCTGATGTCATCATTCCTGTGGACAGCTCCCACCCTGCTGACTTGTTAGAGACTCGGATGGATGAAACTGCCCAAGACACTAATCAACAGGTACATTCATGTTTATCACTATAGCTTCACTCCTTGAATCTTTCTCACTCACCGTCTGTTGCTTATTCCATCCTTCATGGTGGTAAATACATTTATTATGATGGTAATCTGTTATGAATCAGAAGTCTCAAGCTGTTTTATGTAATGCATCCAGAAAGCTAATGGTAATATGTAATGGGATATGTAGGACACATGATTTTTAACCCTTAATTTTGTGCCTGTTGGCATGAATTTAACTTTAGCAATGTGTCATTAAGAATATGCACTAGTGCAATTAAATGTTACGCAGTGATAACCTCAAACTGAATTCTTGTTTTATATAATTTGAAATGGTTTTATTGTGAAATGTTTGCAGATGACCATGAATGCGGCTGATGGTGTCATTTCTGGGGAAAGCTCCCACTCTGCTGTCTTGTTAGGACCACACATGGACGAAACTGCCCAAGACACTAATCAACAGGTACCTTCATGTTTAGCACTTTAGATTTACTCCTAGAATATTTTTAACTCGCCGTTTGTTGCTTTTTCTGTCCTTCAAGCAGGTAAATAAGCTGTTTTTTGAAATGCATCTAGAAAGCTCATGGTAATGTTATATTTTGGACAGATTTAAACATTTACAGGGATGTTCTTTTTGATAAAATATCACTCTATTCTGGGACATTCACGACGTCCCCACAGTACACCTTACGTCAGTGTTTGAATAGAAACTGTGTGTTAAGTATTTGACAACCTAAATACTTGGTCTACAATTGGTCCCCATAAGGAACCTCGACATGGTGTGTGATATGTCCCCACTAAGCTTGTTTAATTCAATATGTGTGAAATCAGTCAGAGGTAGATGGAGGATAAGGAAAGATTGAATTTGATGATTTTTAACCCTTAATTTTGTGCCTGTTGGCATGAATTTAACTTTAGAAATGTGTAATTAAGAATATGCACTAGTGCAATTAAATGTTACGCAGTGATAACCTCAAACTGAATACTTGTTTTACATAATTTGAAATGGTTTTATTGTGAAATGTTTGCAGATGACCATGAATGCGGCTGATGTCGTCATTCCTAGGGAAAGCTACCACCCTGCTGACTTGTTAGAGACGCAGATGGACCAAACTGCCCAAGACACTAATCAACAGGTACCTTCATGTTTAGCACTTTAGATTTACTCCTAGAATATTTTTAACTCGCCGTTTGTTGCTTTTTCTGTCCTTCAAGCAGGTAAATAAGCTGTTTTTTGAAATGCATCTAGAAAGCTCATGGTAATGTTATATTTTGGACAGATTTAAACATTTACAGGGATGTTCTTTTTGATAAAATATCACTCTATTCTGGGACATTCACGACGTCCCCACAGGACACCATATGTTAGTGTTTGAATAGAAACTGTGTGTTAAGTATCTGACAACCTAGAGACTCTACAATTGGTCCCCATACGGAACCTCAACATGGTGTGTGATATGTCCCCACTAAGCTTGTTTAATTCAGTATGTGTGAAACAAGTCAGAGGTGGATGGAGGATAAGGAAATATTGAATTTGATGATTTTTAACCTTTAATTTTGTGCCTGTTGGCATGAATTTAACTTTAGAAATGTGTCATTAAGAACATGCACTAGTGTAATTAAATGTTAAGCAGTGATAACCTCAAACTGAATACTTGTTTTACATAATTTTAAATGGTTTTATTGTGAAATGTTTGCAGATGACCATGAATGCGGCTGATGGTGTCATTTCTGGGGAAAGCTCCCACTCTGCTGTCTTGTTAGGACCACACATGGACGAAACTGCCCAAGACACTAATCAACAGGTACCTTCATGTTTAGCACTTTAGATTTACTCCTAGAATATTTTTAACTAGCCGTTTGTTGCTTTTTCTGTCCTTCAAGCAGGTAAATAAGCTGTTTTTTGAAATGCATCTAGAAAGCTCATGGTAATGTTATATTTTGGACAGATTTAAACATTTACAGGGATGTTCTTTTTGATAAAATATCACTCTATTCTGGGACATTCACGACGTCCCCACAGTACACCTTACGTCAGTGTTTGAATAGAAACTGTGTGTTAAGTATTTGACAACCTAAATACTTGGTCTACAATTGGTCCCCATAAGGAACCTCGACATGGTGTGTGATATGTCCCCACTAAGCTTGTTTAATTTAATATGTGTGAAATCAGTCAGAGGTAGATGGAGGATAAGGAAAGATTGAATTTGATGATTTTTAACCCTTAATTTTGTGCCTGTTGGCATGAATTTAACTTTAGAAATGTGTAATTAAGAATATGCACTAGTGCAATTAAATGTTACGCAGTGATAACCTCAAACTGAATACTTGTTTTACATAATTTGAAATGGTTTTATTGTGAAATGTTTGCAGATGACCATGAATGCGGCTGATGTCGTCATTCCTAGGGAAAGCTACCACCCTGCTGACTTGTTAGAGACGCAGATGGACCAAACTGCCCAAGACACTAATCAACAGGTACCTTCATGTTTAGCACTTTAGATTTACTCCTAGAATATTTTTAACTCGCCGTTTGTTGCTTTTTCTGTCCTTCAAGCAGGTAAATAAGCTGTTTTTTGAAATGCATCTAGAAAGCTCATGGTAATGTTATATTTTGGACAGATTTAAACATTTACAGGGATGTTCTTTTTGATAAAATATCACTCTATTCTGGGACATTCACGACGTCCCCACAGGACACCATATGTTAGTGTTTGAATAGAAACTGTGTGTTAAGTATCTGACAACCTAGAGACTCTACAATTGGTCCCCATACGGAACCTCAACATGGTGTGTGATATGTCCCCACTAAGCTTGTTTAATTCAGTATGTGTGAAACAAGTCAGAGGTGGATGGAGGATAAGGAAATATTGAATTTGATGATTTTTAACCTTTAATTTTGTGCCTGTTGGCATGAATTTAACTTTAGAAATGTGTCATTAAGAACATGCACTAGTGTAATTAAATGTTAAGCAGTGATAACCTCAAACTGAATACTTGTTTTACATAATTTTAAATGGTTTTATTGTGAAATGTTTGCAGATGACCATGAATGCGGCTGATGGTGTCATTTCTGGGGAAAGCTCCCACTCTGCTGTCTTGTTAGGACCACACATGGACGAAACTGCCCAAGACACTAATCAACAGGTACCTTCATGTTTAGCACTTTAGATTTACTCCTAGAATATTTTTAACTAGCCGTTTGTTGCTTTTTCTGTCCTTCAAGCAGGTAAATAAGCTGTTTTTTGAAATGCATCTAGAAAGCTCATGGTAATGTTATATTTTGGACAGATTTAAACATTTACAGGGATGTTCTTTTTGATAAAATATCACTCTATTCTGGGACATTCACGACGTCCCCATAGTACACCTTACGTCAGTGTTTGAATAGAAACTGTGTGTTAAGTATTTGACAACCTAAATACTTGGTCTACAATTGGTCCCCATAAGGAACCTCGACATGGTGTGTGATATGTCCCCACTAAGCTTGTTTAATTCAATATGTGTGAAATCAGTCAGAGGTAGATGGAGGATAAGGAAAGATTGAATTTGATGATTTTTAACCCTTAATTTTGTGCCTGTTGGCATGAATTTAACTTTAGAAATGTGTAATTAAGAATATGCACTAGTGCAATTAAATGTTACGCAGTGATAACCTCAAACTGAATACTTGTTTTACATAATTTGAAATGGTTTTATTGTGAAATGTTTGCAGATGACCATGAATGCGGCTGATGTCGTCATTCCTAGGGAAAGCTACCACCCTGCTGACTTGTTAGAGACCGCAGATGGACCAAACTGCCCAAGACACTAATCAACAGGTACCTTCATGTTTAGCACTTTAGATTTACTCCTAGAATATTGTTAACTCGCCGTTTGTTGCTTTTTCTGTCCTTCAAGCAGGTAAATAAGCTGTTTTTTGAAATGCATCTAGAAAGCTCATGGTAATGTTATATTTTGGACAGATTTAAACATTTACAGGGATGTTCTTTTTGATAAAATATCACTCTATTCTGGGACATTCACGACGTCCCCACAGGACACCATATGTTAGTGTTTGAATAGAAACTGTGTTAAGTATCTGACAACCTAGAGACTCTACAATTGGTCCCCATACGGAACCTCAACATGGTGTGTGATATGTCCCCACTAAGCTTGTTTAATTCAGTATGTGTGAAACAAGTCAGAGGTGGATGGAGGATAAGGAAATATTGAATTTGATGATTTTTAACCTTTAATTTTGTGCCTGTTGGCATGAATTTAACTTTAGAAATGTGTCATTAAGAATATGCACTAGTGTAATTAAATGTTACACAGTGATAACCTCAAACTGAATACTTGTTTTACATAATTTGAAATGGTTTTATTGTGAAATGTTTGCAGATGACCATGAATGCGGCTGATGGTGTCATTTCTGGGGAAAGCTCCCACTCTGCTGTCTTGTTAGGACCACACATGGACGAAACTGCCCAAGACACTAATCAACAGGTACCTTCATGTTTAGCACTTTAGATTTACTCCTAGAATATTTTTAACTCGCCGTTTGTTGCTTTTTCTGTCCTTCAAGCAGGTAAATAAGCTGTTTTTTGAAATGCATCTAGAAAGCTCATGGTAATGTTATATTTTGGACAGATTTAAACATTTACAGGGATGTTCTTTTTGATAAAATATCACTCTATTCTGGGACATTCACGACGTCCCCACAGTACACCTTACGTCAGTGTTTGAATAGAAACTGTGTGTTAAGTATTTGACAACCTAAAGACTTGGTCTACAATTGGTCCCCATAAGGAACCTCGACATGGTGTGTGATATGTCCCCACTAAGCTTGTTTAATTCAGTATGTGTGAAACAAGTCAGAGGTGGATGGAGGATAAGGAAATATTGAATTTGATGATTTTTAACCTTTAATTTTGTGCCTGTTGGCATGAATTTAACTTTAGAAATGTGTAATTAAGAATATGCACTAGTGTAATTAAATGTTACGCAGTGATAACCTCAAACTAAATACTTGTTTTACATAATTTGAAATGGTTTTATTGTGAAATGTTTGCAGATGACCATGAATGCGACTGATGTCATCATTCTTGGGGAAATCTACCACTCTGCTGTCTTGTTAGAGATTCAGAGTGATGACGTTTCGAGTCCACAAGACACTAATCAACAGGTACATTCATGTTTAGCACTTTAGCTGTACTCCTAGAATCCTTCTGACTCACCTTATGCTGATTTTTCTGTGGTTCAAGTGGTTAAATGAAGGAAATACATTCATTATGATGGTAATCTATTGATCTATTGTGAATCGAAAATCTCAAGCAGTTTCATTTAATGCATTTAGAAAGCTCATGGTAATGGGATATTTAGGACAGATTTTTGCGTTTCTAGGGATGTTACTTTTGATAAAATATCACTCTATTCTGGGACATTCACGACGTCCCCCACAGTACACCTTACGTCAGTGTTTGAATAGAAACTGTGTGTTAGGTATCTGACAACCTAATCAGAAATTAGGTAAACTAGAGACTTGGTCTACAATTGGTCCCCATCTGGAACCACGACAGGGTGTGTGATATGTCCCCACTAAGCTTGTTTTATTCAATATGTATGAAATGAAGGCAGATGTTGATGGAGGAGGAGGAAATACTGAATTTGATCATTTTTAACCTGTAGTTTTCTGTCTGTTGGCATGAATTTAACCTTAGAAATGTGTCATTAAAAATATGCAGTAGTGTAACTAAATATTACGCAGTGATAACATCAAACCTTAAACTTGTTTTTCCTATTTTGAAATGTTTTTTATTGTTATTGAAATGTTTGCAGATGACCATGAATGCAGCTGATGTTGTCATTCCTGAGGAAAGCTCCTACCCGGCTGTCTTTGTAGAGATGCAGATGGATGAAGCTTTTGATCCACCAGACTCTAATCAGCAGGTACATTCATGTTTAGCACTTTAGCTTTACTCTTAGAGTTTTTCTAACTCACCATTTGTTGCTTTTTCTGTCCTTCAAGCTGGTAAATAAGGGAAATGCATATATTATGATGGTAATCTATTGTGAATCAGAAGTTTCAAGCAGTTTTAATATTTATGTAATAAGTATAAATTCTGAGTTTAAAATTAGAATATTTGAGATGTTGTTATCTTTTAAGGCTGTCTTTCAAACATTTAAAAAAGTAAATATTTTGCCTAAACTTACAAATCGCAAAGGTTATAAATTTGATTTGTCCTAATTATTCAGATTTATTTTCAAGATATATTTTTGTGACAGCACAAACAGTTTGTTTGCAGACAAAGGAATATTATCTATGTTCAGAAGTATAAACATTCACCAAATCAGACTTTACAGTTTCAAAATATTTTCTTGTGTTTAGACTATTGCTGTTTTTAGGAACATTTGTTAACATCACTACTCTGAGTGTGTGAGAAAAGTATAATATCAAATTTGCAATTAAGTGGTTAGATTTACATTGTAGGAATAACTTGAATTGTATTGTCATAATATATTGCACTGGGATTGTGTTAAGTTTAAAGGATGTTTGTCTAAGTAACTTCTTTTATTCTTAGATGAAAGACACAGATGTTGAAGAGTCAAATGATGAATCTGACTCTGCATCAGGGAGTAGTGATGAGTACATACCAGATACCACTTCTGAAAGTGAAGAGAGTGATGCGAGCCTGAAACCAAGGACCAAACCCTTTTCTCTTGATGACGTATTGAATGACTCCGGTTCAATGAGTCCCCCAGTCTGTGACACGACAACTTTAGACCATGTGATCTTTGACAGCAACACAACAACATATGAGGTCACTGAAGCAGACGGACCCTGCACAAGTCAAGACATGACTGACAGCATAGTTGTTCGTGCTTCCAAAAAAAGAAATGGCAATAGAGTGTACAACAAGAGACATTATTGCTTGTATTGCAGGAAACCTTATGCCAAGATGGCAAGACATCTAGAAAGTGCACACCAAGATAAATCAGATGTGGCCAAAGCTCTTAGCTTTCCGAAAGGTTCCAAGGAAAGGAAAAAACAGCTGGATTATATTCGCAACAGAGGCAACTATGCTCACAATGCTGCTGTTATGGAGTCAGGGAATGGAGAATTGGTACCATTTAAACAACCACCTAAAGAAGCAAAAGGAGGTGATTTCATGCACTGTGCATACTGCCAAGGACTTTTTACAAGAAAGGTCCTGTGGCGACACATGCGAAGTTGTAAACTCCAACCTGGATCAGTTCGCCCCAGACCAGGAAAGAACCGTGTTCAGTCTTTGTGTACATTCACAGGGCCGGTGCCTTCACACATAAGTAAACAATTGTGGGGAGTTATCAGTGCCATGAAGCCTGATCCAATCACGGATACAATAAAAAATGACCATGTCATTACTGATGTTGGGCAGCACCTGTTAAACAAAGGTGGGATGTCAGCCAAGAATCAACAGTGTGTGCGAGAGAAGATGCGAGAAATGGGAAGGTTGGTTCACAATGCCAAGAGAGTTAGCACCTTAAATAAAATGGAGGATTTCATAAATCCTAAAAATTATTTGGATATGGTCAAAGCTGTCAAGTTAACTTGTGGCTTTGACAGTGACACAAACACATTCTTGATTCCATCACTGGCAAATAAACTTGGGAATGCCTTAGTTAAAGTCAGCAAACTCTTGAAAGCTCAGGGTTTGATCTCAGAAAACAAAGAGCTTGTAAGGAATGCCACTGAGTTTCAAGAAGTCCACAGCGAAAAGTGGAACGAGATGGTATCTGCAACAGCGCTAAGGAACATTGCAGAAGCAAAGTGGAATGTGCCCACTCTAATGCCCTTTACTGAGGATGTACAAAAAATGCATCAGTTTCTCAGTCAAATGCAAAATGAGTGCAGCAATGCTCTGTCTGAAAGTCCTTCTACAAAGGCCTGGCTTGACCTGGCAAAGGTGTGTCTAGCACAGACCATCCTCTTTAACCGACGCAGGGAAGGAGAGGTGGGGAGCATGCCCTTGTCTGCATTTCTATCAAGAGACTCCTCAGATCCCCACCAGGATTTGGACTGGGCACTCTCTGAAGTGGAAAAAAAACTTTGCAGACATTTCTCAAGGATAATCATCAGGGGAAAACGAGGTAGGCCGGTTCCAATTCTTCTGACTCCGAAAATGCTGTGTGCATTAGAACTGCTTGTTAAGCATAGAGAGGCTTGTGGAGTTCTCAAAGACAATGCTTACATGTTTGCAAGACCCACAGCTATGACACACATCCGTGGTTCAGACTGCATCCGTGGCTTCGCAAAGGAATGTGGTGCAAAGTGTCCTGAGTCACTGACATCCACCAGACTACGAAAACATGCTGCAACCCTTTCAACCGTGCTGAACATGACAGACACAGAGATGGACCAGCTGGCCAACTTTCTTGGTCATGACATTAGAATCCATCGTGAGTTCTATCGACTCCCTGAGAAGACCCTGCAACTCGCCAAAATCAGCAAAGTCCTAATGGCACTTGAGCAAGGAAGATTGGCTGAGTTCCATGGCAAGAACTTGGATGAAATTACAATTAATCCAGATGGTATGTTTTCAGATTTGTATCTCCTTTGTCTATCTTTTTTCCATCCTTTCTTTTTGTTTGATCACATTTAAAAGCTGTACCCGGTATGTCTCCCACAGAAAAAGTTCTGGATTGTGATGAGGAAGATGGGAAGAGAGAGGAAGAAAACTGTTCATCTGCTGTTAATGGTAATTTTAGTAATTTAATGTAAAAAAAAAAAATAGGTTCGTAACTTTTTACTGGACCTGGACCATCAAGTAATCATTATTTTAGACCCCGTCTAAGTATCTTTATTAATAGCATTTTCCATCTGTTGCAAGTCCTAGTCCCTCATAAAGCCTTAAACAGCTGCCTTACTTCCCCACTGCTGCACTATGGTTTGATACTAGCTCATGCTTTTGAGCACCATTACAGGACATGTCTCACCTACTGTAGACAGCTGCAGTGGAGTTATTTAGATTCATTGGGCCTCATGCAAGAACACTGACAACAAATGACACATTGACTGGGTATTGTAAGAATTCTTACATTACATGTGTAGTAATTATCTTGTGGTATTTATTTTTACATAGAGCAACCAGCAGACGAGACAATTCCACCTACTGAAGGGAATGAATTCCCATCAACAATCAAGACACGCAAACTGCCATCAGCAGAGGAAGTGGTATCTTCTGAAGCCTGTGCTGTAAGACCTTCTTACAAAGGTGAATTTTTACACATAATACATTTCTCTCCATCTCGTTCTCGTTCCTCTATCTTTCTCTATTCTAGTAACGCGAATAGATTGAGCACCTGAAATGAATCACAAAAGATTTCCTCCTCCTCTTCGACACCCCTCCAACTGGTAACACTCTAGGCAACAGCCTAGCCTTCTGAGAGTGTGAATAGGTTAAACATTGTAATTAACAGATGGATGGATAGTAAAACCCAGTAATTACTAATTTTGTGGAAGTTGATGTGTGAAAAGCTAGTTACTAGTTACAAGCCAGGCTAAAGTCAATTAAAACTGCCCAAAACTAGAGGGTCCTTCAACTATAGTTTATAACTTTTTCCAGGACCTGGGCCATCAAGCAATCATTATTGATGGACCCTGTCTTAGTATCTTATTAATAGCTTTTTTTCTTTTTTGCAAGTCCTAGTCTGTGATAAAGCCTTCAACAGCTTTATTTCACCACCACCACACTATGGTTTTATGTTAACTCAGGATTTTGAGCGCCATTACAGGACATGTCTCAACTATTGTGGGCACATGCAGTGGAGCCAGGTAGTTATTTAGATTCATATTTATTTTTTCATAGAGCCATCAGCAGAGGAGACTCTTACAGCTACTGAAGGGAATGAATTCCCATCAACAATCAAGAGACACAAACTGCCATCAGCAGAGGAAGTGGTATCTTCTGGAGTCAGTGCAGTAAGACCTTCTTACAAAGGTAAATTTTTACACAATCAATCTCTCTAGTATCTAAACTGGTAGATAGATATGTGATGTGGATGATAAATACTGTTGTTGCCCTCTTCCCCAGTGTTTATTGTAGCCCAAGTGGCAGATATTGGACTGACAATGTAATTTCAGCCGTTAGTTGAACGATAATTTCACTTGCTGTATATGATAGCATATACAGTACATATAAGGCCAAAAGTCAGTGTAAACCCCTACTGATTACTGTGTTCAGGTGTTCAGCCACACCCATTGCTAACAGGTGCATAAAAACTAGCAGATAGACATGAAATCTCCAAACATTTTGGAATTTAGAATGGGCTGTAAAGAACAAGATGCTTCCTAATTATTTTATTCACCAATTTGTTTTTCTGCTCACTTACAGGTAAAACCGGCCCAAAAAAAAAACCTTGGCAGCAGGCAGAGGTGCAGGCAGTCGAGAAGCACATGAGTAGATTCATCACTTCTTGTATTGTGCCAGCAAAGAGTGACTGTGAGAAATGTTTAAGAGCTGAACCAGTAGCTCTCAAGAACCGGGATTGGCATACCTTGAAATTTTATGTGTATAACCGCATTACAGCCTACAAGAGGAAAATGAGTAAATAGAATATTTCTCATCTTTCAGACCACTTTGGCATGTCAAGTTATAAAGTGTTAAGCATGTTTAAAAATATACAAGTTTGTATTGTTGCTTTAAGTGTTCTCTTGAGAGAAAGCAAATGAGCTAGACTCATTAAAAAGTTCAAAAGTATAATTTAAATGAGTTTGATTTCTTGAACTAAGGAAATTATTATTTACTATGAAGTTATGCAGCAAACAACACAGACAAACATGAATACTAGTTGTATTAGGGTTGTTGAGTATTCTGTGTAGTTACAATGATGACGATGTAAACAAAGAATAACTTAAAATGAGATTAGGTTTAAAGGTTTGACTTTTTGTTTGGCAGACATTTGTGTGACAACAATTTCTAGACAGTAATTCATTACTCAAATATCGGTACTTAAGTGACCACTGATATCAAAAAGATTAAGTAAGAACAATGTCTCTAGTATAAATGCTCATTTAATTTCAATTTTATTTTATTTGTATAGTTCCAATTCAACGAAAGTCATCTTTCTAAATACAGAATGTCTAGACCTTACTCCTCATTAAATCAAATTGTATGTTTACCACGTTTTCACTATAAATAAAAACTAAAAAAAGTATATAGATTCTGGTATAGGTTAAATAATGTGATTGTGTTATGGATAGTACTTTCGTGCAGTTTGGTTTGCAATGTAGAATTGTGATTCCCAACAATATCCAACCCTACTTAAGAATCCTCTTTACCACAAACCACTAGCACAGTAGTTAAAGCCTTTTCCTTAGTGAAAATATCATAATGACACGCTTTCTGCATTATTATTGGTGCTGGTAAAGTTGATTTTAATATTTGCATTATTGTGGTTTGATTCTAGTATTTGGTCTAAGCCCTGCAGATAGCAGCTTGCTTACTTTATGAAAAATGTATTATTCAAGACATAACCTGGTTGGTAGAGGACAGCTTCATAGCAGTTTACAGTATGAAGGAGTCACAAAGTGGTTATATTATGGGCTGCCATTGTTGTAGTGAACCTTGTGATCAAAAGAAGACAGCTCAAATCCAATAATCTGAGGATTATATCACTTAAGCATGTTGTTCTACCATGGTCCCCAGTAATCAGTTGGAAATCTGTGTAAATTATGCAAATTATATTTAAATTAGGTCCCCTACAAACATGTTTACTGGATTTTTCATAGGTCCCCAGTTAGCATGATGAAAACCTTACTTCATCAATTCAGATATTTGAAGTCGTGTATGAGCTAACCAACCAATGGTGAGTGTACCTGATTTTTTTCATACCTCTAGAACCTCTAGAAAGGGTGGTCCCCGCAAGTGATGATCAAAAATTTGGTCCCCATTGCAAATGGTAACCAGTATGTGTGTGTGTGTGTGTGTGTGTGTGTGTGTGTGTGTGTGTGTGTGTGTGTGTGTGTGTGTGTGTGTGTGTGTGTGTGTGTGTGAGTGTGTGTGTGTGTGTGTGTGTGTGTGAGTGTGTGTGTGTGTGTGTGTGTGTGTGTGTGTGTGTGTGTGTGTGTGTGTGTGTGTGTGTGTGTGTTGTTATAAAGATCTAGGGGGAAAAAAACGACATCCCATGATGCAGTGCGCGGTCCGTTGCCTGGGAACGGATGGAGCATTAAACTCAGTAGCTGCCTGCTAGCTGCTCTCGCTAACACTTTAACGCAGATAAACCGGACTCTGTCTGTTAGAGAGGAATATTTAATATATATAAACTAATAATAAATCATATAAAGAGAGTTTGCTCCGCTTCGTTACACGTTCACACCGTGTGTCCGCTGTCTCGGGCCGTTTGAACCCTCCCGTGGTGGCTAATGCTAGCTGGAGTTATAAGCAGCTCCTGTATATAAACACCGGCCGACCGGGAGCTGAATGCGTGTAACGGCGGCTGGGTTCACCCGGTGATCCGTGAGCGTCCCATGGAGCGGACTGACCGGGGAAAAGACACCAGACTGCTGAACAACCAGCCGTACGACGAGAGCCTGGAGGTGGTCGACGCTGAGGAGGTAGCGAGCGTCTACAGCCCGACTCCCCGCAGCCAGCGACAGGTAACATCAGCGGTGCTCCCCGGGGGCCTCACCGGTCCTCACCGGGGGCTCACCGGGGGCCTCCACCGGTCCTCACCGGGGGCCTCACCGGGGGCATCCACCGGTCCTCACCGGTCCTCACTGCCCGGCTCCAGGGCACTGCGGCAGGCTTCATAACATCACCCCTTTACTATCAGTAGTTAAAAGTACACAAGTATTCTCCGCTCTGTGTAGTTAAAGTATCAATAATAATAACACAAAAGTATTATTAAATCAGATTCATGTAGTAAAAGTACACAAATAATATCATCTTTATGTAGTTAAAGTAGTAAAAGTAAACAAATAATATCATCTTTATGTAGTTAAAGTAGTAAAAGTAAACAAATAATATCATCTTTATGTAGTTAAAGTAGTAAAAGTAAACAAATAATATCATCTTTATGTAGTTAAAGTAGTAAAAGTAAACAAATAATATCATCTTTATGTAGTTAAAGTAGTAAAAGTAAACAAATAATATCATCTTTATGTAGTTAAAGTAATTCAAGTACACAGTCTATAAGTATTCTGCCGTCCCCGTTCACATCCCAGATTTCTGTCTCCTCAGTCAGAGTCCAGGAGGAAGGTCCGCAGCCTGATGTCGGCCAACAGCGGCAGCGACGAGTTCGATGAAGACCACGCGCCCCTGAGGGCCAACGAGGCGGCCGGCGTGCAGCCCGGCGTCGGCCCGCACGACGAGGACGAGGAGGAGGAAGAGGAGGACGAGGAGGAGGAGGAGGAGGACTCTGACGAAGAGGACTCGGACGACGACGACGAGCCCAGCAAGGCTCCGGAGGGGGCGTACGACCCCGCCGACTACGCCAACCTGCCCGTCAGCACGGAGATCAAAGAGCTGTTCCAGTACATCACGCGGTGAGGAGTCTGCGTCTATACCTTCATTATATTGTCTCTGAAATGTCCTTCATCGTTCGTCTGTCTCCACCAGCTCTTCTTTTGTTGCTCGGGGATATTTATATACATGTTCTGAATCTCATATTACCTTCATTTTGTGTCTCCGTTGTCTCCCCCTCAGCTACACCCCTGAGTCCATCGAGCTGGACCACAGCCTGAAGCCGTTCATCCCGGACTTCATCCCGGCCGTGGGAGACATCGACGCCTTCCTGAAGGTACGACCTCTCTATCTCCATCTCTACTCGTGTCCTTCTGAATAAAGGACACTGATAGTCGTGCTACAGATGCTCCTTCATATATTATCTCTGTTCCCTGTGTGGCGTTCAGGTGCCGAGGCCGGACGGTAAAGCGGACAATCTGGGTCTGCTCTTCCTGGACGAGCCCAACGTGAAACAGTCGGACCCCACGGTGCTGTCGCTGTGGCTGTCGGAGGAGACCAAGCAGCACGGAGCCACCGAGGTATCGACGACCCACGGTGGCGTACGCCGTCCGCTCCGCACCGAGTGACAGAACTAAAACCTCTCTCTCTCTCTCTCTCTCTCTCTCTCTCTTTCTCTCTCTCTCTCTCTCCTCCAGCTGAAGAAGGTGACGAGCGTCGCCAGTCCTCAGTCCAACCCTCGGGCGGTGGACAGCTGGGTGGAGAGCATCACGGCCCTGCACCGCTCCAAGCCCCCGGCGAGCGTCCAGTACGGCCGAGCGATGCCGGACATCGACAGCCTGATGCAGGAGTGGCCGGCCGAGCTGGAGGAGCTGCTGGGCCGCCTGCAGCTGCCGCCCGCCCGCCTGCACTGCAGCCTGGCTCAGTACGCCGACGCCGTCTGCGGCCTGCTGGACATCCCCGTCTACGGCAGCAGGATCCAGTCTCTGCACCTGCTGTTCAGCCTCTACCTGGAGTTCAGAGACTCGCAGCACTTCACACGCAGAGCTTAGAGCGGCCGGAGGCTCCGCGTCACGGCGAGCGCACAAACTGTACGGGAAGTAAAGGATCAAAAACTGGACCTCAGATGTTCCTGACTTTAAACATTCCTCTGGTTTTATTCTGCACTCTGGGTGCTTGTTTAGAATATTTAGAGTCACTGCAGTTTATTTGTTGAGAAACTCGTCTGTTTTCTGTCTTTTTATATCCTCATTCACCTTTAAAACATGTAACCGACACATTTCTGTACAGTTGTTTAAGTGGAGATTAAAACCCGCTCAGTTATTACAGGTGTGTGTGTGTGTGTGTGTGTGTGTGTGTTTACTGGTTTCACTGACTTCATGCAGTGTGTATTAGTGTAGTATCTATTGCTTATTAGCAGTAAAAACTATGTTATGTGTTAAATCGGTGACTTTCAGGCTTCCACAGGTTGAGGAGGAAAGAGCTGCCGGCTGTCTGTCAGGCTGATTGATGTTTGGTTTCCTGTCTGACTTCCTGGTTATTTCTGTCTCTCTCACTTTCATTGGTTCAGGTTGATTTTCTTACTAACATTGTTCTCGTAATCAGTCAGGTTTTTGGCAGATTTCTGAAATAGTGAATAGTTTTAGACATTGAAAGTGTTCTCAGCTGAAGTTTAATGAATCGCTTCCTCATGTGTTGACTGTAGTTTTAAAACCTGAGTTACTACTTTAACTCCTGGCTAAAAAGTAAATGACACTATGAGTCAGAATATATTATCAGTGTTGAAAATCAAATTATAGTACTATAATCAGTTTCAGTGTAAGTGTCTGAATAATAATGTGGATGTAGTTTATTAAATAAACTGACATCTATTGAGTAATAGTCTAAATAGAAATATGTATTCTTTTCAGACGCTGTCAGACAGACAAACTAAATTAAATGATTAAACACAAACTTACAACATGTTTGCGCTGTAATGAAACTATTTATTTAGAGAAATTAGCAGCTCGGGAATATAAATCATGAGATTTGATTGAGAACAAACTCAAGAAAGTTACAGGTCATGTCAAGTTCAGTTTAGCATCAATAACATTTAACAATATTTTCCTGGTTAACTACAGTCCCTGTAATGAGAACGAGCAGCAGTGCGACCTAAAGACATTGTTTCATTGACCTCTGATGCTCTGCAATCACTGTAATGTGTCTTTCTTTACAAAATACGTTAGGAGAACGAAAATCTGATACATGGCTCACAGGATACCTTCACCGCTCAGGTAGGAGGTCGCTACCATGAAGCTTCATAGCGGCAGTTTTCTAAAGGTTAGTGTTGGTCGACGGCAGATTGTGAACTACTGCTTCTCAAAATGATTGCAGACATCCATCCACACATCCGTCTACACATATACCAACACATCCATCCACACATCCATCCATACATCCATCCTCAAATACATACAGACACTCCAGCCCTCCAGTCGTGGCACCTACAGAAGAAAACAGGTGTCAGTGTCAAGAGACAATAGTGACAATAGTGAAGAATAAACATCTATTTGAGATGTCAAAGATTTGACTAGGTTAATATTGGTCCAGGAACCATAGTGAGGAAAATCAGGAAAGTAAACTTAAAGGTTATATATTCAATATTTAGAATATTATAATGGAGGATTTATTTGAACCAAACCTGAGTTGGTGATTGTTGGAACAGAAAGAGTGAAACCAAAGATGGTTCTGGTTCAACAACAACTGTCAGTGGAACAAACTACTACTGTTAGTGGAACAAACAACTACTGTTAGTGGAACAAACAACAACAACTACTGTCAGTGGAACAAACAACAACTACTGTCAGTGGAACAAACAACTACTGTTAGTGGAACAAACAACAACTACTGTTAGTGGAACAAACAACTACTGTTAGTGGAACAAACAACTACTGTTAGATGAACAAACAACAACAACTACTGTCAGTGGAACAAACAACAACTACTGTTAGTGGAACAAACAACTATTGTTAGATGAACAAACAACAACAACTACTGTTAGTGGTACAAACAACAACTACTGTTAGTGGAACAAACAACTACTGTTAGATGAACAAACAACAACAACTACTGTCAGTGGAACAAACAACAACTACTGTTAGTGGAACAAACAACTATTGTTAGATGAACAAACAACAACAACTACTGTTAGTGGAACAAACAACAACAACTACTGTCAGTGGAACAAACAACAACTACTGTCAGTGGAACAAACAACTACTGTTAGTGGAACAAACAACAACTACTGTTAGTGGAACAAACAACTACTGTTAGATGAACAAACAACAACAACTACTGTCAGTGGAACAAACAACAACTACTGTTAGTGGAACAAACAACTATTGTTAGATGAACAAACAACAACAACTACTGTTAGTGGTACAAACAACAACAACTACAGTTAGTGGAACAAACGTTAACAGGCGAACTCGTCCCCAAGGAATTATGTTGCCACCATTGTGTCCCCTTTTGTAAATATTTTCACATTTAGTGAGTTCAGGATTTATTTTATCCAAACCAAAGTTGGTGATTGTTGTAACAGTGTAAAGACCAACAGAGATAGTTTCTGTCCGATTTAAAGGGTGTTTTTATGATTATCTGCTAAGTAAAATGACTGGGTTTGTCAATGGAGTCTGGTGGTGGGACGTACTTCTCACTAGTGGCAATGAAGTTTGTATACATAACCTTTAATAATGTTTAAAGAAACTTCCCAGTGTTATTCTTTGGAGCTCACTGTTGAAACTATTGTATTCTGAAATTATTCAAGAAAGGAGGGGAAGTTACTTACTGTTCGTTCCACGTTTGCAGATACAACAACATACTACGATGATGACGATGATGACGACAATCACAGCGGTGATGATGTTGCGAAGGCGAGCTTTCAGATCTGAAAGAAAAGAGGGAAGATTTGTGCTTTAATGCAGGTTTTCTTTGCATTCATCCATCCAGCCGCTCTCCACATATCAGATTAAACTTAAAAAATATCTATATCATGTGAATGATTCTAAAAACAATAATCAATGTTAAAATAATTACAGTTCTTAACTGAATGCCAAAATGTGCTATTTTAATGTTAATATAATAACAACAATGTGTATGTGAGCCTCCGCTGTTATGAAACAGAGTCATGGCTAAATTCAACCAGAATAACTGGAAAGTTTTAATGATGAGAGAAAAGAGGATGATTTTGTTTGTTTGTTTGTTTGTTTGTTTGTTTTACTTACTAGAATCTGCTTCCCGCTTTCTGTCTTTATTCTCTGCTGGGAAATTGAAATAAATGTTTAAACATGGAATCAATTTTCAATGTTGAAGTTCAAATTCAGTATTACACTACCCGTACATAATATGTATCCTCTGAATATATTACATACTGTGTTATATATTATATTATATTTTAATATACTCTTCGAGGTTTTAACTTTCTAACATTTCTTCCTGTTACTGTGTGTACTTCCTGTGTGTCCGACTATCTATTGGGGACAGACAGATGCTGTTTGCTGCTTTAATAAGTAAAATAAAAAGGTTAAAATGACTTGATCTTCAGTGTACCTACCAACAGTGAGGGTAACGTAACAACTCTTCTGCAGTTTGTCAGTGTGAATGGAACATCTGTATCTTCCAGCGTCAGAGAGGGCTACAGTGGAGAGTTTCAGTGACAGGTTTCCTTTGGTCAGCCCCTCACGAAAGAGAGAAGTTCGCCCCTCAGAGTGCTCCTTCTGCTCAGCAGGAGTGTTCCTGTCTTCATACAGGTGCACAGTGAGGTTAAGGTATCCATGACGCCACTCCACCGTCATATTTGTTGCATCCTGAGGGGGGCGCAGGAGGCACTGCAGAGTCGCATCCTCACCGAGTGCTGCTGTTACTGGCTTCGATGAGCAAAGTACCTCAGGGTCTGCTGAAGAAACACACGTTAGACCAGATGAAGCTTTTTTATTTTTTTCATCTTCAACAACAAAGTCAGAGTCAGCCTACTTTCGAAAAACAGGTTCCTGATTTCTGTGTTT